GAGCCCTGGGAGATCATGGAGAGCCCCCAGGCCCGCCTGCGGCCACCCACCCCGCTGCAGGCCGGGTTCAGAACCCGGTGGCCCAGAACCCAAGGACGCCCAACCCCGATGAGGACCGAGGATCTGGGTGGATCAGCCCGGGTCCATCAGCTCTCTGAATGATTGCCTTTCAGACATCACGGCTGTCCTCCAATGTCCTCATTTTAAATGAGGATGAGACAGAGGCTATCATTTTCAGACCTGGGTCTGTAAACGTCGGCCCCACGGTGATCAGTCTGGGGGTTGGACTTTAGGTGAAGCCTACAACAGATAAAGAGTGTCACGTATCGACAGCGCACCTGGTATCCCGACAGCTGGAAGCCTTGTTCTATTGCTGCAACTTCAGCCTCCACACACTCCACGGTGTTCGTGTTCCATATTCAGCCTTTTCGGTTTCCTCACACACCTCCTGGCACCCAAACTTGAGTTTGGTGTGACTTTAAAGGAAAAACTTATGTAGCTATGACAGATTAGTCGAATGTTTTAACGGAAATATAAAAGCAAAAATTGAAATACAATAAAAATAAAATTAAGTCAAGATGTTGTCAAATACTTAAACATCTCCTTTAAAATTAAAGTCAATATCAGGTTTCTATAACTAACAACAAAAATGTATAATAGAAGAGAATAAAATGTTAAAGTGCAAGCAGCCTACGCCCACGCGTGTGGACGCCAGGACGCTAAAGCAGAAGAAGACATCCTGGTTATTTTCACCTCAGCAGGTGTTTCAGCTTTAATCATGTGATCAACGATGGGTGAATAATAGGGCCAGGACTTTAATGTGTTAATTATGATTAATTAGAAAAAAAAATTACGCGTTAAAAAAAATTAACGCATTTAATCACAGCTTGCATTTCGAGCAAGGCGGAACCTTTGTCATTGCACGATTTCCTCGTAGACCGAATATCACTGACGCACACAACAATGCACAGTGCTAATGGCTACTAAAACGGAATAAAAACAGAAAGAACTAGCCTTGCTTCGACTGATGCAGGATTTAGGAAACACGTCCGCCTCTTCTCTTAACTTGGAAAAAAAAAACTTCCGGACATCAACGGAGTCCGTGTCGCAGACACGTTTCAGAGATCGTCTCTGCTGCGGCTGCCCGGTGGCACCAGGAACTTTACAAAAGTTGTGGTAAGCTATATTTTTAACATTTACGTAACATCTGTGCAGCGCTGAAAGCACCAGACAGAATAATTCTGTGCCCTAACAGTAGTTTATGAAAGTAGTCAGACAAACGAGAGGCGCCTGGCTGCCGCTGGGAGAACGCTCCGTGTTCTCACTACTCTGTAAACAATCACAAACAACGTGTCTTAAAGTTGAAAACAGAAGTTTCAGTTAAAACAGAAACACTCTAATTTTTATTAATTTACAATTTTTATTTTATGATTCCATCAATAATTTCATAAAATATGTATATGCAGCGTTGACATCTTTGACATATACTTCTGTAATGATCGATTTTAATTACATTTAATTAAGGACCATAAGACATTAAAAATTCATATCTAGTATGAAATCCATCATATGGACACTGGGTTATTTAAATCAGATGATTGGATCTTCTGGATTCTGGACGAATCAAAGCTGGCAGATTTATAAATACCACAGAGACTCTGCCACGCTTCAGACCGGGAAGGTTCTGATTGGATCAGCAACAGCAATGTGTCGTGATTATTTACCTTAATGTGTCAGTGTGTCTAGTGAACTAGATTAAGTCATATTACTTATTAAAAACATATTAAGCATAATAATGTGATTTCACAGGTCGGTCACATGGTATTATTGACTAAAAGTTGTTTTGATTAGCTTTATTGAAAATAGAGTTCTTTGATTTTAATAAAAGAAAAGAGTCTCTTCATCTTCTGTCTTCATTGCTGGAACGTAAACAGTTTAGAAGCGAATGCATGACCTTGAGGCTGTTTCATGCACTCTGGCGCCGTGTCAAAGGGAACTGTGGTTAGAGGATAAATAACCTTGAGGAATAGCTCCTTCATCACGTTACACTTCTTTCCAGTTTTGTTTATTAAGATATTTATTTAGTGCTTCCAGTGCTTTAACGGACTTATTTCTTTTGTAATTATAGTAATGTTTGTATTTAACAAATGTTTATATTTAAATATAGCAAAAATGGGTAAATGGTCACTAATATCTGTCATCAGTATCCCACTCCTCATAACATCATCATTTTTGTTTGTGAAAATATTATCAAGGATCGTAGCACTGTGAGATGTGATTCTGGTTGGTTTAAACAGGGGGAATAAACCTAAAGTACACATTAAATCAACAAAGTCCATTGACATTCTTTGCTACTCAGGATTTTCTAAATTAATATTAAAATCTCCACACATTAACCAGGTTTTGTGTCTAATTTGATCAGCCAGCTCCATCATTTTGTCAGTAAATTGCATGAGACAAGACCCAGGTGCCCTGTAGACACAGCTAATTAAAATAGTTTTAGCATTTTCATTAATAATTTCCATTGTCACCACTTCTATAACGTTGCCCTCCATCACTGTCATTTCTACTACTAACTTACACTTCAGATCTGATTTAATAAACAAGGCAACACCACCACCTCTTTTATTTTTTCTATTTACAAAAAAGCTCATATCCATCTATTTGAACATCATCCATAATGTCATCGTTAAGCCAAGTCTCTGTAATAGCAATCACACTGAATTGATTTTTAAATTTTCTTAGCTAATCTCTTATTATTGGCGGCTTACAAAACAAACTTTGACTGTAGAAATGAATGTGTGATAGCGTATTTTCCATAATTACCCCACTATTTACATTTCCTTCTTCATAATAATCACAATTTTTTCTTCATAATAATCACAATTTTTATTTAAATCAAGTAAACTTTCATCTATTTTACTATCCAAGTCATATATTTTGTAATTTGAATTATAGAATTTTTTTATTATATATTTTTTGCTATTGTGAATCCCGACTAGTATCACACTCTTATCTATTCTGTTTTTTATTTTTTGTTGTCATCAATGTTTCTGATTTGTACATGATTAGTTCCTTCTTTTTCTCTTATCCATACCCTGCAGTTCCAGACCCAGACCCTAGCAATGTCAGCATTCTTTTTTGTTAGATGTTCATTTATGTAGGAATTTGTTCCTTTCAATTTTTTTGCCCGCCTCAGTAAGTCATTTTTGTGTTTCCTGCTTGTGAATCTTATTATAATAGTTGATGTTTTATTTGTACCACTTTTAAATGGAATAGTATGACAATCTGATATTTTGTCCTGTTGAATGTTGATACCTTTTTGATGGAAGAAGCCTGTGACTTGCTGCTCTAATGTTAGTAGTTCATCTGGTGGTGCATTCTCTCCTCTAGCTCCATCTGAGTCCACCACCCGTGCATACGAACGATGCTTTGTCTCCAAGCCAGATATTACTCAAGATCATCCACTCGTTGTTCCAGCTTCTCAATAAGCTTGTCTTTTTCCACTAGCTGTTTAATTTCATCCAACAGTCTGCTCAAGGACGACATTTCTCCAGATATTCGATTCACTGATGTTTTTGTCTATATCCTCCAAGTTTTTCCATTTTCCTTGGTGGCGCCATCTCATCCACTATAAATGGTAAATGGTAAATGGCCTGTATTTGATATAGCGCCTTCTAGAGTCCTGGAACCCCCCAAGGCGCTTTACAACACAACCAGTCATTCATCCATTCACACACACATTCACACACTGGTGGGGATGAGCTACGATGTAGCCACAGCTGCCCTGGGGCGCACTGACAGAGGCGAGGCTGCCGAGCACTGGCGCCACCGGTCCCTTCGACCACCACCAGCAGGCAACGTGGGTTAAGTGTCTTGCCCAAGGACACAACAGCAGTGACAGACTGAGCGGAGCTCGAACCTGCAACCTTCCGATTACGGGGCGAGCACTTAACTCCTGCGCCACCGTCGACCACAATATTATACACTATAGTTTGTGTGTTCAAGTGCACCACAATCCACCACCTCCCTGTTAAATCCTGCATGTTTTAGTTGGGTCCAGGTGCAGCACCTGGAGCTGGGCTTGGTAGTTCCTGGTGTTGGTTCTGACAGATCCAGGCCTAGCGGACGAAGAAGGATCCTGATAGCTTGGCCTGGTAGCTGGTGTTGAGAGCTGGGCCGGGCGTGGTAAACAGGCCTGGTGGCTGGTGTTGAGAGGATTTGTGGACTCTCAGCTGTTTGTTTCCACTGTGGACTGGAGTCACGAGTTCCCCAGCCTGGTCTGGCAGCTGGAGCAGAACCTGGGCCTGGCAGCTGGAGTTTAATCGAGTCACGGCCCTAGTCAATAATCAACACCAACATTATGAAATAGTTCTAATAACGAGTCTCAAGTTAATGAACTTTGTGCAAAAAGATGAGGTAAATAACTAAATAAATATAATAATAATAATTAATAATTATGATGTAGCAGATTGTTTAAAGGATTTCATGTTTTCTATTTATTTCATTTCTTCATTGTTCTTAGATTCTAGTTGTTTATTTTATAGGGTGAAATTTATCTTTATCTAAAAATAAAAGTTTCAAGTGAACTCATTTATTTATCCTTAAAACATCCATCCATCCATTTTCCGAACCTGATTAGTCCACTTAGGGTCGCGGGGGAGGGGCTTGTGCCTATCTCCAGCAGTCAACGGGCAATTAGGCGGGGTACACCCTGGACAGAGAGCCAGTCCATCGCAGAGACACACAGGACCAACAATCATGCACACACACACTCACACCTATGGTGTGATTTAGACAGACCAATCAACCTAACAGTCATGTTTTTGGACTGTGAGAGGAAATCGGAGAACCCGGAGAGAACCCACGCATGCACAGGGAGAACATGCAAACTCCATGCAGAAAGATCCCAGGCCAGGAATCGAACCCAGGACCTTCTCGCTGCAAGGCAACAGCTCTAACCACTGCGCCACTGCACAGCCTCTTAAAAGATCCAAACATTTATTTATTTTATTTTTATTCATTTCTTTCATCAGCAAACTAAACACATGGATTTATAAAACACTTCCTGTGTGTTTGGATCAAACGTCCCGTTTGTAAAAGAGTCTGATAACCAGAGATTACCTAAGAGTTTAGACATGTTTAGGAACCACATGAATGTTTTCTTGTGTCATCATAACAGGGCCCGGCTTATTTATATCTTTACGGATTTCCTTCATTAGTTTAGTCAACATTCTGAGTTTGCACAAATCCACAAAAGTTCTGACATGAACGGACCCACGGTCCGAACCAGAACCAGTTCTGAAGTCTGATGAGATGCCGAGCTCGGCCACAGCAGCAGTTTTATATCAACACAAACATCTGGATACAGCAGAACACAGAAGCTAATGAACATCTGTAGATTATTAACTTAAATTAACACAAACAGGAAGGAGTCACAAACACAACAGCTTCTGTACATCTGTGCAAAGGTAGAGTCATCAGTGAAAAGTGTCCACAAATCAATCCTCACTGAAACTTTTTTACTTTTCCAAACGAAAAAATCCTGATTTAAACTTTTTGGTTCATTTCGTGAATAAAAGAAAGTTTCACACAGAAATCCGATCAAGTTTCTGTTTGACCTCAAAATAAAAACCAAATAAAATTTAGGAAATCAGAACCGTAGACACACACACACACACACACACACACACACACACACACACACACACACACACACACACACACACACACACATACACACACACACACACACACACACACATACATACACACATACACATACACATACACACACATACACACACAGACATACACAGACATACACATACACACACATACACACACACGCACACACACACACTACCACATACACACACACGCACACACAAACGCAGACACACACACACACATGCACACACACACATACACACACACACTACCACATACACACACACGCACACACAAACGCAGACACACACACACGCACACACACACATACATACACATACACACACACGCACACACAAACGCAGACACACACACGCACACACACACATACATACACACACGCACACACACGCACACACACGCACGCACGCACACACACACACACACACACACACACACACACACACACACACACACACACACACATACATGCATTTTTACAGTGTAAAATAACAATTTAGTTTAAAATTCCAATCTGAATCAAAGAGATTTCAAGAGCGAAGCAGTTTTATGTTTTCATTAATATTAATATTAATATTATTTTGTATTATTAATGTTGTTATAATAAGATTATTTTATTACTAGCTAGGTAGCTACCTCTGTTAGCTTAGCTCCCACCTCCGCGTTAGCCTTGGGTTAGCTTGTAGCTACATCGCTTCAATTCGACGGGTGTCATCATTTGATCCCAGCCTTACAGCCCCGCCCTCAGCTCCACCTCTTTTCCCTTTTATGGAATTGTCTGGGCGTGACGGAATCTGTGACACAGTCAAAATGGCGGTGGTGGCCACCTCCCATTTTGGCACAAAAACTTAGAATTGAAGCCTGTGGACACGAATCGTCCAGTATATATGTCGATGCTATAAACTCGTAAACTCAACAATCTGTTCAAATAAGGAACAAATAACTTATGAAAAAAATGAGATAAATTCTAAAAGTTTCTTCTGAGGAAAGAGAAACTTCAGATTCGATTTCCTGTAATTAAACATCCAGCAGTAACTAAGTACACAAAGTAATCGGATTACAGTAAAAACACCTTTTTTAAATTTAGAAAAACTCTAATTGATAAAGTTTAGTTTGGTGAAGTGAAGTTTGGTGGAAAAAAGCAGTTTTTCAAACACTGATGTGTAAATACAACAGCCGTTAACGTTGAACGGTCCTCCTCCAACCGTTCTCCTGATGTTCTCCTGATGTTCTACTGAAGCCCATCAGTAATAACTTGTCCTCTGTGTTTTTCTGACATGTAACAGCATCTGGGAAGGAAAATCAATCCAGCGGCTCAAATGGAATCAAATCCTGTCAACTCATTCCACCTTAAGTTGTCTCAAACAAATGAGGTCCACCTTCAGAGGTGTTCAGGTGAGAAATCCAAATGGGAGAGATTCGGTCTGATGTCCAAGGATTGGCCCCTCCTCCTGTTTCCTCTTGTTTTAGCCCCGCCCCCTCCAGCTGAATGATGACAGAAGCTGGTGGGATCTGTGAGAGTTGGAATCCCAGTAAAGATCCAGCAGGACTTGCTCAGGGCTCGGTCTGAGCTGAGGTGTAAACCGGGTCCTCAGAGGTCCAGTCAGACCTCCTCAGCAGCTGGAGCCCTCGCTGCCGGTCCCGCCGCCGCCTCCTCTGGATTTAGAGCCTGCCGCCGACCCGACAGTTATTTGGCAGCCATTGGTGACGTGACTCATGACTTTCTGCTTGAGCTGAGCTACCTGCTCTCTCAGCATGGCGGCTGTGGAGGCCAGGTCTGAGTTCTGGTTCTTCAGAACCTTCACCTTCTCCTCCAGGCGAGAAATGCGCTCCAGCTTCCGCTTGCGGCATTTGGACGCCGCAATTCGATTGCGGAGCTTCTTGCGTTCTGCTTTGATGCGTTCCTGTGTCTCCAGGTCAATGGGGGAGAGGGAAGGGGGGGAGGTGGGGTCACCTGATGGGTGAGGCACCTCTGGAACCGTCTGAGGTGCGTCCAGACCTCGAGGGTGGGACTGTGGGGTACCACCACTACCTTGACCCGAACCTCCACTGTAGCCCATCTGGCTTCCAGAGAATGGGTGCTGGGCAGGGGTGTAGCTGCTGAGGTTAGTGTAGACGGGCATGTCTCCACCCGACATCAGGTTCCTCTGGTAGGATGCTTGCAGGGAGACGCTGGAGGATGAGGATGGGGACATGGGTCCACCTACAAGCTGGTTCTGCTTGTGAAGGTCAGCCAGAGCTTTCACAAAGCCGTCAGCAAAGCCCTCCTGCTCGTTGGTGGCCGGGCCGCGGTAGATGAAGGGGTTAGAGGAAGTGGACACAGGGCTGGTGGTCACCAGACCCTGGTTGGACTGGATGATGAGATGTTCCAGGTCCGGAGAGGCCAGCTTCAGCAGGTTCATGTCTGCTGAGGATGAAGATGAAGTTATCAACGGGTTGTTTCCTCCCAGCGGCAGGTTGTTGGGATTCCGACTGGCTGTCGGATTTCCACCGCCCAGGAAGTGGTGGCCTCCTGCCACAGACATGGCCTTCTTACTCATCAGCATCTTGTTGCCGGGGTAACGCTCATACTCTGCCACCTGGCTGAAGCCGGGAACAGTGGGAGTGTCGTCGTGGTAGAAGGGCGTCTCCATCTCGGTGGTCATGGACAGGAAGGCGTCATAATCAGATTAACCTAAGGTCGAAGCAGATTTACGTTCCACTGAGGTCGGCGTCTGAGGGATGAAGAGCAGGAGACACAAACAGAACCAAGTTAAAGTTCCACTCCAGGCTGTCTTTCTACTTCCTGTTTCTGACTCTGATTCTGATTCAACAGGATTCCCAAACTCCGCTGTTTCAACTGATTTTATTTATTATAAAATTCATTTAAACGCCAAAAGAGACAGAGACAGAGAGACATAGAGACAGAGACATAGAGACATAGATAGAGGTGAAGACAGAGACAGTCTGAGAAAGGAAATTTTCCTAAAGTGATTCCAAATGATGTGTTTTTATAAAGTTGTGCTACAAGGACACATGTCTGGTTCATCCCTTGAATTAGGAGTATATTTCTATCAATCAATCAATCAATCAATCAATCAATCATCAATCAATCAATCAATCAATCAATCAATCAAATCAAAGATAATGTATTAATCCCAGAGGGAAATTAGAGTTTCAGTACACACAATTCAGAGATCAGACATACGTGGGCAAGACACATGACAAGAATTGGTGACTGTGGTCATTCGCAACCCTGAGTCGTGCTACCTTAATAGAGATCAGAGGGGTTTACATGAGGGTTGGTTCAGGTGGAGGGAAAAAGGCACTTCAGAGCTACCCTCCACCAGGAGGGCAGCTTTGCTCTGCAAAAAACACCTCAGACAGAAATGCAACAGACTTCAGACAACACAACATAAGTGTCCACTAGGTGGGGTGGTGGGTTGGGACTATCCCCACTTCAGTTCCTGCAGCCACGGTAAGCAGCGCATGTCACCTCAGTGTGGATAGGGGGAGGAGCATTGAGGGTTGGAGGGTTGCAGTGACCCTGGAACGTTTCAGTGGCCTTCCCGCAGTCCTGCCCAGGCTGGGAAAGGAGACAGAGTTGAGTTGCCATAGCGACGGCACATTCCACATATCTTCTGTGGGGGGAGTTTTTGTTGGAGCCTTGCAGGCTCAAGGACATCAGATTCCAATTAGAAATTGTTTTGGGGCCAGACAGAGATATTTCCTCTCTGTCTTACAGTTTGTTGGTTCTCAACCTCTCAGAATCCCAATAATGGACATTAATCTATCCCAATCCGTGCTGATTCGTCCACTCTTTCCTTGATGGCATCCATCTTTGTGCCAAAGAATGAATCCCCGCCAAAGTCCCAAGCTTACGATTCATCTCGACAATTATGTGAGTCTGTGAATTCACAGCTCAGTTCCAGATGTCTGGGGGGGGGGGGGGAATTGGACCTATGTTAAGCATAATTCTGCGCACACGAAGACGCATAAGAGACCTGGATGATGAAGCTCAATGGTTAAAGGAATCACGGAAGCGGTGTGATGCGCTCCGTCGCGCGTCTAGACGGTACCGTACGAGGCGAGCTGCCATGGTTTGCCGCATGCTACAGGAGCGAGCTATCTAGGAGCGCAAAGCGTCCCCCGGTCCCCTCCTCCTCCCCCTCCTCCCTGTCCGGAACTCAACCTCACCAGTCTGAAGCAGCCACCTTGTCCGTAACAAGTCGACCCTGTTACTAGGGGCATCGTCCAGTTTAATTACGGAAAACATTATCCGAATGTTTGTATTCAGATCCAAAGGTCTTACAGACAGAGTCTTGAACATTTCCGTTTTTCATGGCCTGTCTGAAGGGGGCTCAAGAGTCGGAAGAAGAAATGATGAAATGAGTTTTAACAGCTGAGTTTGGGAATCCTGTTGAATCTCTGTCTAACTGTCTGTCTGTCTGTCTGTCTGTCTGTCCAAAATGAACCGGCGCTTTTGGCTCTCAAATGGCTCTTCATATTTTTTTTTTATTAATTTATCACCAGAATTGAAGTGAAATTGTTGACCGATCTACAAATGTACATTAAATCAACTGTTTATTATTGAAAGGGAGACTAGACAGTTTTAACTTGTTTTTAGCACCTCTAGTGGCCGTTTAGCAGTAATCTCCTCTGTATGAACGTCTCCCCAGACGTCATTAGCGTCTACAGAAGGGATTCATCACTAAATCAACCATATCAGATGTCTTCATGATCTAATACATGCAGCAACCCTGCTGGAAGCAGCCTGCAGCACCAGGTATGTCAGCTAAACAGCGGCCGCCACTCTGACGTTGCAAGTGCGGTATTGTGGCTACAGAGGGGGTGGGGTGTGAGTGACTTCATTAACCCTAAAGGGTCGTTTTAGCACAAACTGGCTCAAGGAAATGATTTAAAAACATGAAAAAGTTTCATCGTATCCCTTTAAATAACTTCTAACTAGCAAAAATAAACTCTGTAAGTAAATTATTTATAGACTTAACTATTTACAGGTAAACAACTCAGAAAGGCTGAGATAATCACACAGGAACATTTGTAGAGCCTGGTGAAAAGATGTTTTTGTTTAGCATCATCCACACGTTTACTTTTTATTGTCAGTACTGGTCAAATGTGTCCAAATCTGTGTTCGTCATAGGTCGTCCATAGCGAACACCTTGTTCAGACATAAAGGGTCCATGTGGGCTCTTGGCACCGGGATCCCTTAGGCCGTAGCTCGATGATCGACTTTGTTATCGTCTCATCTGACCTGCAGCTGCGTGTCTTGGACACTCGGGTCAAGAAAGGGGCGGAGCTGTCAACTGACCACCACCTGGTGGTGAGTTGGCTTTGATGGTGGGGGAGGAAGCCAGTCAGACCTGTTGGACTCAAACGTATTGTGAGGGTCTGCTGGGAACGTCTGGCGGAGTTTCTTGTCAGAAAAAGTTTCAATCCCCACCTCTGACAGAACTTCCAAAATGTTCCGGGAGAAGGCGGGGGACTTTGAGTCCAAGTGTGCCATGTTCCGCGCTTTCATTGAGGCGGCCAACCGCAGGGTTGTCTGTGCTTGTCACGGCGGCAAACCCCGAACTCGCTGGTGGACACCGACGGCTGGTGATGCTGTCAAGCTGGAGAAAGAGTCCTATCAGGTCTTTTTGCCCTGTGGGACTCCAGAGGCAGCTGATGGGCACCAGCAGGCCAAGCGAAATGCGGCCCGGGTGGTCGCCGAGGCTAAAACCTGGGCGTGGGAGGAGTTCGTTAAGACCATGGAGCAAAACTTCTATATAGCTTCGAGGAGATTCTTGTCCATCATCTGGCACCTCAGGAGGCGGGACGTTGTGGATCGGTGGGCAGAATACTTCAAAGACAACCTCGATCCCACCAGCACATCTTCTAGTGAGGAAGCAGAGTCCGGGGACTTTGGGTGGGGTTCTCCAATCTCTGGGTCTGAGGTCACAGAGGTGGTCGAGGGGCTCCTCTGTGGCAAGGCTCCAGGGGTGATGAGATCCGCCCGGAGTTCCAACAACACACTCCTCCTCTGCTTTTTACTGTTTCTCTCTCTCTTGTAATTACTCCTGATCTTTATTTCTATTTGGATGTAATCCCTCCAACTCCACGGATCCACGTTCCTGTCGATGCTTCTCACCAGTTGTTCTGATGCTGCCAGTGGTTGCAGGAACGTGCACGGTGCCAGAAAACTCCCCTCTTCCTTTCTCTCGTCTTGCCTGGGCTGACGGGAGCTGACGGTGGTGTAGGTGTAGTGTGCTCCATCACAGTGATGCTCCTTTAGAGTGTTTGGAAAGAAAACATCCTAATGCTCAAAAAGAAGCTCCTCCTGGAGCGTGTTCTGCATATCGAGAGGGGTGGGGTGGGCGTTGGGGGGGCTGTGGTGCTGGGTGTTTACTTGGAGACGTACAGATATTTTTTCCAGAAATCTCGAAGATTTTGACGAGTAAATTACCGGAAAAAGTACCGGTATTCATCGTACCCTGGAAAAAAGTGCAGATACACCGAGAGGTAAAAATAAGAAGTGCGTACCCGCCCACTTGAAGCACTGCTCAAGACCTTCATTCATCCTAGAGACCACTGCAGATAATCTGAAAAAATTGGTCTTTAAAAATCTGAAAGAATCTTGAATCTCAAAATTAGCAACTGAAGATGTATTTTTAACTAATTTTACATTTTAAAAAATAAACGAGCAAATTATCTAAAGTCTGATTTGAACTCTAAAAGGAAACTTTTCTTGTGACAATAAGCCCCGCCCCCAGCAGGAACTTTAAACGCACCTTTACCTCCCTAAGAGGACTCCCTAGATCCGCCCCTGGAAGCTTAAACAACTAAATTTTTACTCTGAATGAACAGAAATGAAAAAGTTCTGTGGTTTATCAGCATCAGGAGATGCTTGCAGCTTCAGATGCATCAGACTCCAGCAGCTGATGAGTGACGTCACGTCAGACCCTCACAAGTCCTGATGCGTCAGGTGATGATTTTAGTGGATGTTAAATGAATAAATAAATAAATAGATAAATAAAAGAAACCCTGTAGAAAATAAATTATTACTTTTAATTTCAAGGTTTTCAAACGCCCAATAGTTTCCAGCGCCCTCTGGTGGTCATATTAGAACACAGCAGCTCTCTTTAAACGACTTTTATCTCTTGACTCAAATAAGTAAATAAATACATACATAAATAAACAAATAAATAAACTCAGTCATCAGATCGGCATGGACACACTTGGACTGGGACCAGTTATTATTTAGTCTTTATTTAGTTTTCTCGCCTGAAGATTTTTTTAAAGTTTAAACAATAAAATTCCACTTTAAATAAAACAGATGAAATATTCAGTAAACATGGTTTTAACTGAAATATTATTTAAATCTTAACTGTGATTTTTAATAAAACCTGATCCACTCCCGATCTGAAAGCGTTCAAGTTCCCGGTGCTTCCCGGTAACTTCAGACCGGGAAAAAGCAGCGAGAGGCACCGGGAAAGAGGTCGTTATCAGCCGGACTCACCTGCAACCCCGGAGCGGGTCGGAGATCCAGAACCAGGGCGGAGAAAAACCTGGAGACCGACCGGGACGGAACCCGGAGAAGCGTTTGATGGTTCGGAGAGCTGGGAGGGAAAGCGGAGAGGGGGGGAGGGGGGTGAGAGAGAGACGGAGTGAAAGAGGGAAAGAAGGAGAGGGTGAGAGAGAGAGAGAGGGAGAGAGTGTGTGAGAGAGACGAAGGGTGAAAGAGAGAGGGAGAGAGAGAGAGAGAGAGAGAGAGAGAGAGAGAGAGAGAGAGAGAGAGAGAGAGAGAGAGAGAGAGAGAGAGAGAGAGAGAGAGAGAGAGAGAGAGAGAGAGAGAGAGAGAGAGAGAGAGAGAATCGTTCGCCCATGGTCAGATTTGTTTTTTAAACTTTTTTCATTAAACAAAATAAAACTGCCAGAACATTATGACCACTGGTCTGCTGGTTCATCATCAGCCAGATGTTTGAGTCCAGATGTTCTGTGAGGTTCACTTGATGAGGTCATCACAGATCCAGAGCTGGACAGGTCACATCAGAGACGCAGATTAGGGCCAATACACATTTCTGACCTGCTGGTATGGGATGGAAGCCCTGGAGAACTGGGGTTGGTGACCTCTGACCCCTGGTTTAGACAGAGCAGTAAACCTAGAACCTTCCAGCTCAGCTCCTTCTTCCCCAGAACCAGACCAGGTCAACATCTCTGCTTCATCCGAGCATCACTCAGGAACACCTGATACCAGAACCAGGGGGAACGTTTTCCAGTTCAGAACCTCAAACCTGGAAGGTGTCTTCTAAAGACTGGAGTTCCAATTCCAGCAGTACCCCCCCCCCCCCACCCCACCCCCCCAGATCAGGGAGACCGGACAAGAACCTGGGAGACGCTCCATCCTTCGTCTCCTGCTAACAGCTGTTTGAGAATCACCTTGGCTTGTTGGAGCTGAAAGTCTTGCTTCCTTTTCAGTCTTCTACAGATCCAGGATCAGATGCAAATCACCCAAAAGTCCTGCTAGAAACGGGTTCTGCTGCGTGTCGGCTCCAGGAACCTGAACTCCGGACCGTAATGTCTGAGATCCAAGTCCTCTGGACAGAGCTGGAGAACGAACCCTGAAACATCTGAAAGTTATCAGAGATGACATCATTTCATTAACCAGACGAGATGACATGGTTCTGCTCAGGAGGAACCCGACTGGAGGGGGAGGAATGATGTCAGACCCAAAACATTCAAACACAAAACTGCTCTCATTTCTTCCTTTTGTGGGTTTAAAGAAAACCAAATTCCAACTTTTCCACAAACATCAGCGGCTGTTGACCTGAGAGCTCACAGATCAGGAGTTTTGAATAAACACACGACTCCGGATGAGACAAACAATCAGCAAACAAAATAAACAAAAAACAGCTTCCTGGATCTGCACCACAGACTCAGGAGAAGTTCTGGTTCTGCTTCTATCAAACCCAACAGTCCAGAACCTTTGCTTCGATCATGTGGCTCTGGTACTCCCTAGTGGTCATTCAGTAGAAACACCAGACCAGCTGATTGTTGTTTACGATCCTCTAAAGCAGGGGTGTCAAACTCATTTTAGCTCAGGGGCCACATCGAGGGAAATCTAGTCCCAAGTGGGCTGGACCGGTAAATAAAAAAATACTTCAGATTGTTTTCTTTGTTTTAATACAATCAATATAAAACAAGGCTGGAGCCTGAGGACAGTGTATCCAAAATAGTACAAGTACAACACCTGAAGTGTACTTGAAAATTTGAAAATTCTAAAAAAATCAATAAATAAAATAAACATTCCTTAGTGATTCAAAGAGCTAACAGATCACATGGCTAGATCAGTTTCATGCAGCACTTAAAGTATATTTGACTCATTTTACTTTACATCTTTTAGCTTTCACCAGCACATCAACATCAGAAGTCACATCCTGAGTGGCGGCCATCTTCAAGATGTGATTCACGTTCTTGTGTGAGCCTTGAGCGCAGCTTTGTTTTATTTATACTCATTACAGAGAAAACTTGCTCACAAAGATAAGTTTATCTTCACTCTACATTGTAAAGTATGAAAATAAAGTTTACACAACCATCTCGCTGGCCGGATTTAACCCGCTTGCGGGCCGGATCCGGCCCGCGGGCCGCATCTTTGACACCCCTGCTTTAAAGCCAGATTATGCAACATTTTCATATTTTAAAAACATTTTCCTGAGCCAGCATGTGCTAAAGGAACCTCTACGGGGTTATTCAAATGTCCCGCCGTCCTCTGTGGCCAGAATACTACACTTGCAACTTCAGACTGGCGGTCGCTCTGTTGGGACTTGGAAGAAATTGAGCTGACATACCTGGAGCTGCAGCCTGCTTCCAGCACGTTTCCTGCATGTTTTATGTCCGCTGATTTGTTTGATTTAGTGACGAATCCCTCTTGTGGACACTAAGGAAGGCTGGGAGTCATTTAGGGCAGCAGTAGCTCAATAGGTTGAGCGGGTTGTCCAGTAATCGGAAGGTTGCAGGTTTGATCCCGGCTCCGGACAGAGAATTCTGCTGTTGCGTCCTTGGACAAGACACTTAACCCACCTCGTCTGCTGGTGGTGGTCGGAGGGACCGGTGGCGCCTGTGCTCGGCAGCCTCGCCTCTGTCAGTGCGCCCCAGGGCAGCTGTGGCTACATCGTAGCTCATCACCACCAGTGTATGAATGTGTTAGTGAATGGATGAATGATACACTGTAGTGTAAAGCGCTTTGGAGTCCTTACTCTGAGAGGCGCTATACAAGTGCGGGTCATTTATCATTTCAGCTGTCAGATCACGGTCCTAAACAGACAAACGCACAACGAAGACGTAGGTTTTGTTTTCGGTTCCACTAAACGGACACTAGGGGGTGCTAAAAGCAAGCTTAGACTGCCTCGTCTCCATTTAAAATCAGCTGTTTCTCCTTTGAGCAGCAAAACAAAACTTTTATGACGAAGACAGGGACAGGGACAAATGTGATGCGTTCTTCTGATGGATGGATATTTCACCAAGGAGGACGCGCGGTACCACGATACCGTCCACTGTAGTGAAATGCAAGATAATTAATTACAGTATTGCTCCAATGTAGGATTACGTGTGTTAAAATTAGGTTATTTAGTACGAGCGTCGCCATTAAGAGAGATCTCATCTCATCCCGGTGTGAGAGCAGCAGCTGAACCCGGTGACACCACCAGCAACAGAAACTAGTAGGGATCTGGACTTTTTTTTACATCAGCTTCGGTGTAAAGTGAAACGTTGTTTATAACAATGTTATAAATCCAGTCGGGTGAATTTAAGCAAAGCAGGCAGCTTGTTTACATCGGTGAACAGATGCAGAGAGAACTTAAAGAGCAAGTCACCCCCTACATCATCCTCTTCATGCATGTTGTTTGAAAAATGCAACAAATGCTGTTGCCTAGCAGACCGAGAGGGTGGAGCCACTAACAAATACACACACTCACGACATTGTGACATCATAATGTACTAGTTTACATCATAGCATACCTCTTAGCCAATAGCGGTGGCAGATTTAAATTCAAATGCAGTGCAGAGTTTTTACCTGACAACGGCACAACACTGACAGTTTTAGGCAGAAAATTTAAATTTGAACTAAAATGCACTAAAGTGCAAAACTATTGACTACACGTGTCTGCAGCACGATTAGACACACATTTATATAGTTTATCAGAAAAAAATAGTTGATTCGGGGGTGACTTGCTCTTTAAGCTAACGTTCGTAAGCTAGTTAAAAACACGTAACTTTTGTAAATACCGCTCTCTTTGAGCCCCGTCTAGGTGCGCTACTTCTGATATCTGAACACGGGCTCAAACTAGTAGAGGGAATGCTAAAGATCGCAAAAAAAATTTCAGGCTCTACTTTCCCCTTTGTTTAGTACTTGTGTCGCTCACTGTTTACATGCTTTAACCGTCCAGTATGGCGGACCCACGTGATTAAGTGACGTAGGTATAAAAGGGTCAATACAACCGTCCTTCAGATCAATGTGGTTGTGAGGTCCTGTTTCTTTCAGCTGTGCCGTTTAACGCGCCTGCAGCTGATTTAGAAACGGTTGCGTCTGGAGTCCGTGACACGTGCCTTCATCACCTCTCACCTCGACTATGCAAACTCCTCATCAGGACTCCTACTTCGGCCCTGAACTGGTTGCACATTGTGCCGACCCAAGCCCCCACAACGCGGGTCTAAAATTGAGGCAAACGCGGAAGTGACAGAAATGCAGTTCCACCCTCATCCACTAGGGGCTGGTGTCAGAAGTGAGCAAATCCTCATTGACTCCCATGTTAAAAATACCAATTTCACAGCAGAAATAAACATGTTTACAGCCTGGTACCAAAACATGTTTTTGGTTTAAATGATCTAGTTTACACTCATGACAACTCTGAGGGGGGTGAATGTTTTTCTCACTCTTCTGTTTAAGTGGATTTAAAGCCTAAAATTCTGTATAATTAATGAGCATCAGACCCACGTGACCACAGAGCTAGCTCCGTGGAAAGGCCTCAGCCTGAGCCTCGGCCTCGCCTGAAAACTGAGCATGCGTGGGTTTCCTCCGGGTACTCCGGTTTCCCCCACAGATCACAACACGCCCTATAGGTTATAAATTGTAAGACGCTTTGGATAAAAGCGTCTGCCGAATAAACAAACATAAACATAAACATACATAGACACATGACAAGAATTGGTGACTGTGGTCATTCGCAACAGTAGTCGCGCTACCGTTATAGATCAAGAGGGTTTATATGAGGATAGAGTCAGGGTGAGGGAAAAAAAGGCACTTCAGAGTTACCCCCGACAGCGCTCATCACCTCCGTTGGACAGAAGGGGGGGGGGGGGGGGGGGTAATGGGTTAGAGGGCACATTGACTCCTAGATACGGTTCCACGGCCTTCATTGGTCACAGTCCCGCCCAGGCAGAGATAGGGAGAAAGGGTTTCCATAGCGACGGCAGCATTTCACATTACTTCTGAGGGGGGAGTTTTCACTTCAGCCTCACAGGCTCCAAGAGCACCAGGTTCAGATAAGAACTTGTTTTGGGTACAGACAGAGATAATGTCCTCTCTGCCTTAGAGTTCTGTTGGTCTTCAACCCCTCCAGGTCCAATAATGGCATTATCAAACTATTCCAATCCGTGCTGATCCGTCAACTCTGTCCTTGATGGAATCCACCTTCTGTGCCAGAGCCTGAATCTCAGCCAACGTTTCAAGCTTACGACTCATCTCGACAATCATACGAGTCTGTGCGTTCACAGCACGATGCATTCAGTGTGCCCCAGGGCAGTTGTGGCTACATCGTAGGGCCCCAGGGCAAGGCTGCCGTACAGAGGTACCACTGGTCCCTCCGACCACCACCAGCGGGCAAGGGGGGTTTAGTGCCTTGCCCAAGGACACAACGACAGCGACAGCCTGAGCGGGACTTGAACCTGCAACCTTCTGATTACGGGGCGAGCACTTAGCTCCTGTGCCACCGTCGCCTCATGTTAGATTTTCTACAAAACACACAAACAAAAAATTGTGACTAACTGGGATGACATGATGCAGTAAAAGGAGAAGGGAATGTTTCTTACCGAGGTGTTTTTATTGAACAAATGTTAAATCACAGCATTAATAAACCTTTAGTCTTTAGTCCACAAACCCCTCGTTGTCTACAGGACTTTTTATTTTGTGTCAAATCTAGAAGATTATAACTGATCCGGTTTTCAGCAGGATAATCCAGCTCCTGCTGAAGGTCCCAGCTAACACTAACATCTTAGCAGCTGACAGGAAGCTAGCCGCTAAGTGGTCCTCCGGGTCGGTCTGGAGACACGCTCACTTCATGAAGATAAAATTAGCCAGAAGGTCCGACCATGAAATCTGGAATTATGATGAAGCGATCCACGAGTGGGTGTTAAAGCAGGACCGTCCCTTTAGCTGACGAGAGGAGATCCCATGTAGATGGAGTTGTGTGAAGAGCCTGGATTTAGAGACCCAGAGGGTTTCCTGGACCACCAGGAGACGGACTCTCCAGCTGGACCATCACATCCTCACATCAGGAGCATCTCAGACCGGCACCGTGTTCAATACACAAATCACTTAACTACATGTAGACAAACACGCGATCCGTCCTCCTGAAGTTGTCCCCTTCCAGACGTTCATGCTCAGGATGTAACTATGATGGTTCTGGTACCAAAATGTAGCCTGGGTGACAGGAGATGAAACCCCCAGAATGCACCTGGTTCTGGCTCAGCGTGACGCCTTTCATGTGACTCTGAGGCTTGTATTGAGCGGTCGTCACCGTGTGTGTTTGGTTCTGGATGTCGGGTTCTGTCATGGACGGTGGATGATCCTTCAGCATCAGTTTGTATGGCGGGTTTGGAAAGGCGCGGGCGGGTCGGCCACGGCTCTTAACGGGTTTGTCGTAGGGAGTCTCTTCTTCGGGCTTGGTGTGAGAAATCACAGGAGCTCCGTGTTCATAAAGCAGCTGAGGGACCTCCACCACTCCCTCACCGTGAAGGCTCTGGTCCGGTGGCAGGTAAGGCCTACTGCTCTTCACCTGGGCAAGAAAAATCAGACGGGTCATGAATGCAGCAGCTCAGCTCGGACGTGGAGATGCTGTCTAACGTCTCTGTTTGAGTCGGGACTCACAGGGGAGGAGAACCACTGGTCAGTCACCACCGGCTTTGGGATCGGAGGGTAGACCTTCCGCTTGATGCTGTTGGGAGGAAAAACACAGCCGAGGAGTAAAGGTTAGCTACAGGAAGGAGGACTCGAACAGGAGGCTGAAATAATCAGTCCTTCCATCCAGGCTGAGGTCAAACTCAGCGTGGAGAGAACTCCCATCACTGAAGCGTAGGACACGGACTCGAGCGTTCCCCGTACCTCAGCGGGAGGACGTCAGGGAACAACCAGTAAGGATTACAACAGGAAGTCTGACCCAAAACCAGAGGTTAGACTTCAAAATAAAACAGGAAGCCCGACATCAATCATCTCCCACGAACAGCCGTGAGATCAGAGATGTAAAATGAAGCGTTTGCTCACCAGGTCCAGTGTCTGAAGCAGAGAAAGGTGACGATGAACAGCAAACCAAAAACCACCCCCAAGGAAATCAGGACCGACTGGATCAAGTCATCACCTGCAGAATAAAACCAGGTAAGCATCCCCCGTCGATCTGGAAAGTTGTGATCAGACGAAGCAGATCCTTACCTGAAGAGCCCAAGGTGCTGGTGATGCTTGTGTCGCCACACTCTCCCACTGCTGTCTGCGCCGTCACCGTGAACGTGTACAGAGCACCTCTCAGGTGTCTGGCCGTCAGGCTGGTGGCTTCAGGATCATCTACCCGGGAGAGAAGAACCGGTTTACCGCCTGACCAACGGGCCTCTATCGAAGGCTGACTGACCCCTAACCCTCTGGAGACATCTAAGGACCTGAACATCACAGTTCCCTCAGGGGTGTCCTGCTCAGGGGACCTTACCTGTGGACACGTTGAAGACTTGATTGAGGTTTTCCCAATAGTACAGACGGTAGCCACGGATCAAAGCAGTCTGCTCTGTGAGAGGAATACGATCCCAGGATATTTCAACATCCATGTCTCGCTGTTTGAGTGTCAGAGGTTTAAACAGCTGTCCTTCTATTCCTGTGGACATGAGAGAAGAAGTGTTGGACCAAGTCTCGCTGCTGCAGCAACAACCAACAGCCATGGATCTGCTCTTACGTGTTTCTCTGACGTAACCCTCCCTTTTCTCGAGCAGGACAGGAGCGGCTTCAGTGCAGGCGTAAATCGACAGCGAGTATCTGAGTCCGTCTCTGAAGTTCCCTGTCAACAGTCACAGAGTTAGCAGGTGGTCTGAATGAAACATCCGAACACACGCTCCTGAAGAAAATCATTCAGAGGTTAGCATTTGATCAGAAATACCCTTCAGGGTAACCCTAACCCTTCTGATGTTTTACCGAACCCGTAACTGGAGTGGGCCACGGATCAAGCCCTGAGCAACCCCACAAATAACAGGAAGGTTAAGAGATGCTGCTTTTGGGGTAACTTCACTGCTGAAATATTTATTTGTTTCTCTGCTGTTTTTTTTATCCTTCTGGTGATTTTTTGTTTATTTTATTTTGTCCTGTAAAGCTCTTGGACCGCCGCTGTGCACGCCGCTGAGCACGCCGCTGACTTACCAGATGTTAAAAGGACACTGGTCTGGTTAGGGGGCAGCTTCAGCCAGTCCAGGGGGGCATCCTGGGCCACGGGACACCAGTCCACCACGTATCCACAGCTCGCTGCTGGGCTGTCAGGCCAGGACAGGCTGAAGCTTCTGCTGCTGCCTTCGATCCAGGATGTTTTCACACTGGTTTCATCTAAAAATGAAACTCTCTGAACGTTAGATTTCAAACGAAACGACATGCATCATGCATGCATGTGACGTATGTGATGCTCGGCGCTGTCAGACATTCTAAAACAGAATGTCAGAAAAGCCGACCCAAATCAGAATCAGAACGTTTTATCGCCACATGTGAGCAATCAGAATGACAGGAAGCTGCTGTGGTTCTGGGCGAAGGTTACAAATAAGAGATCAGCTAATGTACACACACTGATCAGCTCAGGTGCAAACACAACACGGTCATGTGACTGGAACCCAGCGACTGGAGTGGGCGGGCTCTGATCGGACTTCCAGCACACTTTCACACACAAATCTGACATTTTCATCTAAATGTGCGACTAGAGACAAACACTTCCTGCTTTGCTGGAAAACGTTTCGACATCTTCACCACTAAGGAGAGAATCTGCGGCTGTCAGCACGTCGTGACCATGACTCAGGAGTCATGTGACCGTTCCCTACTGCGATGAACCGTTAGCAAACCATCAGACTCCCATCATGCCTCTGCAGCGTTCTGATTTTCTCAGCCGTCAGGATTAAGTTAAAAAAACAGCAGCAGGTGACTCAGAGCCCCGCCCACGCAGCTCTACCTGGGCAGGTGCTGATGCTGCAGGTGATGATGGTTGACGGGGGGGAGCTGCCGTTTTGGTTCTTTGCTGTAACCATAACAACGTGTTGCTCCCTCCTGTCCAGAATTAGAGTGTGATTTTGATGGCTGAGAGGCACTCGGGTCTGCTTTTGTTGACTCCTCTCGCTGGTCCTGGACCAGCTCACGACATACTCTGTGACGTCTCCATGACTCTGATTGGCCAGCGGCTCCTGCAGACAGGAAACAGCAGGACGTTGGTTAGCTGCTGTCTCGTAGAAGGAGCTGGATCATTTTTTTTATGGTTGAAACATTTTTATAGATTTTGAATGACCAAACATGACCCCCCCCCCACCCCCCCACCCCCACCCCCCACCCACCCACACACACACTTCCCCTTCACTGTAGCTGTTTGCTACAGAACTCCATCTGCTCCCCACTAGTGGACTCCTAGGTCCATATTTATCTTCTGAGGTTGTCCTCCTCGGTGACCCTGACTGGAACATGATCGACCCCCCAGACTCAGGTCCACAGCGGTTTGATGCTCTAAAACGATATCCCAACAGTTCAACCCTAAATCTCCCACATCTACCTCGCTGATGGATCTCATTCTCACTAACACACCTTCTAATAACTTTTAAACTTGACTCTCTCTCTTCTGTGGTCTCTGAGTGAATCCGAAGCTGTTATCGAATCCCTGCATTAAAAAGATCCAATCTTCTGGTTTAAATAACCTCACAGATCCGCAAGGTGGATTTCATATTTCCTATGGAATCCTACGCCTTATGGCTTATTAAATAACACGTAATTTAAATCATTACAACTCTGTCTGTTCTGCAACGTTGATGTTTCATCTCCACCAATAACACAAGCCTGGAGGAGATCTGCTGTGTGGTGGAGCTGCTAATGCTAACAGTTAGCTTCTACTAGCTGAGACGTTCTCTGCTGTTTCCTGGTCGCTAAACCAACAACAGCCTTCCCCGTCGTGAGTCCAGATGGGTGACTCCATGAATGTTAGTGACAGGGTGACGTAGATCTGTCAGGATCTTCTAATCCTAGAGTTTCACCGTCTGTTTTCTATCAGAAGCTGCTGCAGGAGATAGGTGTAGGAGACTATTTTCATGTTCAGCCTGCATGAAACACTCCGAGTGACCCGTTAGAATCAGAAACAATGAGTAAAAGTAAAGTTTTTGTTTAGTTTCTCTACAATGATCCGGTTCAAACCAGGAAGCTAAGTCCCGTTTTCCGTGACTTATCTCCACCGGACAGATTTCCATCTTCTGTTTTAGGTCCGGCTGGAAAAGTGCAGCTCTGCTCTGCCCCTCCCCCTCACACTCCCTCAGAACAGGTACCCCTAACCCAGACCAGGTGGGAACATCTAGGTCCCTGATTGGCTAAGGCTGCATCCAGTGTGTCCAGCAGCCAAACAAGTCAGACATGCTCACCTTCCAGAGGATCACCGTCCGGTTTCTCCTCCTCTGCATCCAGATGTTGAGAGCATCTGGAACTTTGGCACAAACAGACAAACTCTGAACTGTTGCTGCTCGTTAACGGTCTGTTTTTATGTCTGACAGACTCACCGTCACCCGCAGTGCGGAAGGGTTTCATCACGCTCCAGTCGCTCCATTTCCAGAAATGCGAAGCCGCTCCACATCGCACTTTCACGTGATATTCCCAGTTGGGGATCAAATTCACTACAACTGCAGAATTCAGGCCGAGTCCGAAGTGTGTGCTCTGAGGAAAGGACGTTCACACCAGTGTTCAGAGAGGACCCCCGAGACCAGGTGTTCCACGTTCCCGGTGACTCACCTCAGCGATTCTTTCCCCGTCTCTCACGCTTACTTCACAGGTCAGACTCAGATTTCCGTACCGCTCCACCTTCCAGCTCCACTGAAGACTCACGTTTCTGGAGTTTACATGGGAAACTGTCACTTCCTCGGGAGCGTACATGTGCACTGAAATCAAACACTCCATCAGTTTAATGGAAACATCAAAGACACCATGAGGCTCAGCTCTGCGCTTGAACCTGAACCAGCCAGCACCTCTCTCCAGCAGGTCCGCCGTGTCCTGAAGTTCCACCTTTCCGAGTTGATTCTGCGCTGTTAAAGTCCAGGTCTTCTCCCCGGGTTCTGTCTCATGTGAGCACGTCCCCTCGTGATCGCATGTCCTGTAAGACAGAGATGTTTGGACTCTGAGCTAAGATGGAAGAGGTCTCATTCCCACCTGATGAAGAAGAAAATGGTGTTAAAAACAGAAGCTCCGCCTCTAAAACTGGAAAATCCTCCTGAACTGAATCCAGCCTTGATGCAGAACCGCTCAGTTATTTATGAAAAACAGAACCAAACCATAGAACCGGTGAGTACACCTGATGGTCCCACAGAACCTCCTTCAGCAGCAGGAACTTCAGCTGCACCACGTTGGGCTTTGATGTGGTTCTGGAGGAGTTCTGCTCCACAGACATTCAGAACTCTGAAGGTCCCACCAGGTTCCTGTCTGGACTCTGACTGGACCATGCAGGACCCGGATTCCTTCAGACAGATGGACCCACATCAGACTCTGAAGGAGTTCCTGTTTGGTCACTCAGAACCAGCCCAAACCATCAGCCCTGCACCACCGTGCTGGCAGCTGGAATCCGCTGTTGCTGCTGCAGTGCATTCTGGGTAAACAGCTCAGAGTGAGCTGTCATCACCTTTAACCTTTAACCTCTGTCCTGTTGACTTGGGTGGAGCTCTGATCGTCTGACCTTTGACCTTTCCCAGATCGATAGGCAGCTTGTCTAAGGTCATTGGTGATGTCATGTTAACAGACACCTGTAAGCCGGCTGACCTTTGACCTCTGCAGGTGTTCCTTCCTACCTTCCATTCAGGCGATAAACTGTTGGACTCTTCAGAGCCAGGTTTGTGTCTCTTCCTTTCTCCCAGGAGCATTGGACGGATTCCAGATCCCGGGTTTCACACCGAAGGTCTCGGTCATCAGGCGGGTCTGAATCATGACACAAAACGTTCAAACGTGACTTCATCCGGATCTTTGAGGTTCGGAAACCCAAACAAGCGCACACTCACATCCGACGTAAGCGCAGGCTCCGTATTTTCCTTTGGTTCCGTTTGTTATACATCTGACGTCGACGCAGTTTTCCCAGTTGGGTTCCATGTGGACCTTCAGGACGTACCTCTGGCGGCTGATCCGTGAAACGTTCATGCTGGAGACTGCGAAGTCCACGTACATCTCAGATAACCTTTCTCCGTCTGGGACGACGCAGCAGAACGTCGCCACGCTGCCCACGGCAAACACTTGGTTCTGAGGGAGGATTTCTCTGCCTTTGGAGCTCTTTGATCCTGCAGAACATCACAAGAACTCATGTTAAAGCCCAGCAGGCCACGCTGGAGGGCACGTGTCAGAACGTGAGACAAGGATTAACCAGGAAGAGTCTTTTCTTCTGTCCACGAGACGTACGCCTGGTCAGGTTTGGGCTCGAGTCTGACGGTGTGAGAAGCACACTCCAACGGCAAATACGAGGTCCAGTTCCAGGAATGAGGGGATCCGATCTGATCGAGGGTCACAGAGATGACCTCCTAATGGATCAGAACCAAACAGAGGTGAGCTGAGGTCTGCTTGTTGCTGCTTTTTAACTCATGCTGTGAACTTACATGAAGAACTTGTGCCTCGGCTACAGAAACCGTCAGATGGTAGACGAGCGGGTTTCTCAGAGCGGAACAGGAAGGATGGTCCTCCCATGTGACCAGCAGAGATTGGGCCAAACCAGAGAGGGTCAGGTTCTGAGGTCCACAAAGCAGAACACCTGAAAACAAGGACACATTTCAAGGTCATCAGCTGTTTGGGTGAAGACTCCAACAACGGGAGCACTAAAGGAACGAGACGACCCCTTCAGCAGGACCGGTTCTGCATGTGGAGGGCACACTGTTAAGATACCTGAACCCTACAGAGGTTGCACACGTAGTCCTGCTCCACCAGGAAGATTGCTCGGTCTCAGGAGCATGTAGGAAGCTCCAGGGGACACATGAGGACACCAGGAACATCCAGGAGACGCCAAGAAACAGCTACTGTAGTTGAGCTGGACAGGACCAGTGAAGGCGTTTCACCCATCAGCAGAACCGCCGTCTGTTCCTTTGTGTTAGGAGGACCAGGATGAGTCCAGCTAGAACCCTACAAAGTGGCCTCCAGTGGGTCGCTGGTGAGAACATTGCTGACCAAACCAAACAGACTTAATGACCAGGGCCCGGTGGCCCGACGCCCCCTGATGGCTCGACACTCTCTGGTGGCCCGACGCCCCCTGGTGACTCGACGCCCTCTGGTGGCCTGACGCCCCTGGTGACTCGACGCTTTCTGGTGGCCCAACGCTCTCTGGCAGCCTGACGCCCCCTGGTGGTGCGACGCCCTCTGGAGGCCCAATGCCCTCCTGTGGTCCGACACCCTCTGGTGGTCCGATGCCCTCTGGTGACCTGATGCCCCCTGGTGGCATGACGCTCTCTGGTGGTACGACACCCCCTGGTGGCATGACGCTCTCTGGTGGTACGACGCCCCCTGGTGGCATGACGCTCTCTGGTGGTACGACACCCCCCTGGTGGCATGACGCTCTCTGGTGGTACGACGCCCTCTGGTGGCCCGACGCTCTCTGGTGGTACGACGCCCTCTGGTGGCCCGACGCTCTCTGGTGGCTGCCTCAGGATTGAGTGTTGAAGGGACATTTCCTACCTCTTCATAAACAAGTCCTAACCGGTCTCTGGTGTCACATACAGCATCTCAGCAGTTTTATGGGCCATTCCCATCTGTACCTGGTAGGCCCGGCCCAGATAGAGGTGGTCTGCTTCAGGCTGACCAGGGCCAACACACCCACTGCTGACTGATGAGCCGGCTTATCAGTCAGCAAATTCACACCTTCCATTAGAGCAAGGCTCTGATTGGTGGGTAGAATCAGCCCACATGAGCTTAAGGCATGCTCAATGTATTATCGTTCATTATCATGCTAATTACCTAGAAGCTGAAAATGTCTCTGACTGCACACCTAAGCAAGGATGTGTGGAATCAACCGGGCCAGGCTGGGGCCGACTGGAGCTATCCGGGCCGGGCCCACCAGGTACAGATGGGAATGGCCCATTATTCTTCACAGTTTCAGTACCTTCCACAATAACCCTAACCCACGCCCACCTTAATGTGATGTCACAATAAGGGAGATTTTCAAATGACTCATTTTAGGCAACAAACACTGGTGGTTACCATGGAGACCCAAATTAGGCCTCAGCAGCAGTTTTCACGTTCTTAATCACGTTTTTACAGACGTGTAGTTTCGGTTCCACCGAAGACTTCAGAAATTGTTCAGTTTTATTATTTTATGTTATTTTCTTTACTTGCATTGTGGAGGTTCTCTAGCTTTTTAGACTCATTTAAACATTTTATGGAAACAGCGGAGAACGAGGAGCTACTGACCTGGTGCTGGTCCATCCTCTGAGCTCCAACCAAACACAAGCAGCAACAAAAACCAGGACGTCATTCTTCTGAGCTCCAACCAAGCATCCACTCTCACCTCCTTCCACGAGGAGGGACTTCTAAGATTCAGACGCTATTAAAACAGGTGCAGCAGAAAACATGGACTCAGACGTCTGGTAGATTTCCTGCTCTGCTGAGGAGGTCCAGGAGACTCTGAGGGATTTAGCTGGAGTTGAGATCTGAGTCTAACAGAAGACAGAACGTGTCAGATTTCCTCCTGAAGAAGCCCTCCCCTGAGACCAAACCCGACCTCAGACTCTGCGGAAATGCTTTTAGCTGGTTGTGAAATCCATGTGGAGGTCTGAGCAGGAAACGGAGCAGCTGGTGCTGGGAACTGTGAGTCAGCAGCAGCGAAAACACTTTCAGATGCCTAAATGAGCAGGAAGCAAAACTGCTTTCAGATAGGGAAGTTTGGTCCTGCCAGAACCTTCCAGAGGCCCAGTACGAACTCAGCTGCGGGGCTGTTCCTGGGAAGGCAGGCCCTACACAAGCGGAGGAGGCCACAAGTCCGGACCCGCAGGTTCTTACCGTCACCATTCTGACTCTTCTGAGGAAAACTGAAACTATTCAGTTGGAAAAAAAACTTCCCAGTTTAGTTTCAGTCCTTTTGTTTTGATCAAAATCTGATTTAATCCCAGAAAAAATGACCTAAGAATAAAAGTCTGAGTTCACACCTAAAAGTGTTTTTTTTAAAAAAAAGGAGAAATGAAAAAAGCCTCAAACACCTAAATGATGGAAAGTTCTTGTTCCTGGAGTGAGCCAGCCTCCTCCAGGGCCGCCTCTGGTCCATGATCCTGTTTGCCCTGTAGACGGTTTCCCTCCTGGACCCGGTACTTCTGTGACCCGACAGAGGATAGGTGGAATAAAACAGATGGATGGATATTTAGAGTTCCATTAGTCATCCTCACACTGGAGAAGTGACATCTCCACACGTGACCCTTCCCCGTGGAGGGCGGTGCGCTGCAGCAGGGCCGCGCTCGGGAACTATTTGGTGGTTTAAGTCTTTGGTTTGGACCGACCGGGATTTGAACCCTGATCTCCCATTCCCAGGGTGGCCACTGTACCACTCGGCCACTGAGCTGGACGGATGACTCTTGACTATTTTTCAGGCTCTGATTGGACAACCTCACCTTTAGAACTGAGCTGTTGTGCCTTTTAACTGTGATGTTTGCTTATAAAAGCTGTTTTTAAATCTTTAATCGGTTTGTCTGCCGGGATCCGAGCGGAGTGGTTCGAAGCAACGTTTCGGTTTTCTGACTAATGATGGAATTTCAGTTTGTATCAACATGTGGGCAGTCTGATGGATTCTGGAGAAATTCCTGGGAAACTACTTCATCCGGCTGTGTGTGTGTGTTCTAATACTGCTTCATTACTCTGAAAACACGTTAACAGAAGAGTTTGCGTTCAGGTCACAGGACCCATTGATCATATTTTCCATCCATCCATTTTCATCCGGTTATCCTGGGTCGGGTCGCGGGGGCAGCAGCCTAAGGCGAGTGGCCCAGACTTTCCTCTCCCCAGCCACTTGGGCCAGCTCCTCCGGAGGAATCCCAAGGCGTTCCCTGGCCAGGTGAGAGACATAGTCCCTCCACCGTGTCCTGGGTCTGCCTTTAGGTCTCCTCCCAGTTGGACGTGCCCGGAAAACCTCACTAGGGAGGCGTCCAGGAGGCATCCTTACCAGATGCCCGAGCCACCTCAACTGGCTCCTCTTGACGTGGAGGAGCAGCGGGTCTACTCCGAGCTCCTCCCGGATGACCGAGCTTCTCACCCATCTCTAAGGGAGAGCCCAGAGATCCTGTGGAGAAAACTCATTTCGGCCGCTTGTATCCGTGATCTCGTTCTTTCGGTCACTACAAAGCTCATGACCATAGGTGAGGGTAGGAACGTAGATCGACCGGTAAATCGAGAGCTTCGCCTTCTGACTCAGCTCTCTCTTCACCACGACAGAGCGGTACAACGCCCGCATCACTGCAGATGCAGCACCAATCCACCTATCTATCTCACGCCGGGGACACACCGGCCGCGGAAGCGCCGCGAAGCGCCGAGAAGCGAATCGCTCACGAAATTCGGCCGCTGCTCGCCGCTCCTCAGTTCAGATCAGACGCGCCCCAGTCGAGGCGCGCCTCGGCTCAGCTGTAGTTTTTCTTTTAAACACTTGGTGTCCTCCATTTCCTCTCTGCCTTTTCTCAGCTCTTTTCCTACGTTTGAGTGTTTGTGCGCGTGCGCGCGCGTGTGTGTGTGAACCTATGGTATGAGTTGTTTCTGCCAGTTGAATCTCTTGGAACCCGCTCCAATTCTGCAGCTGTATCCTAGCAGTTTCTTCCGACATGGGTACGTAAACAATCATGTTTTTCGGGGGTCGTACAGCTCCTTGTGTTTCTCAACTTCCATAATTAATTTAAAGTCATCCATCCTAACTGCTTGCCTCAGACATTCTGCCTCTCTGTCCTGTTTGCTCCGGTGAAAAGACACCCAAAACCACTCCCCCCTTCACGTGGTCACACACGCACACAAGTTCGATGTGTGTGTATGTGTGTGCGTGTTCGTGTGGTTTTTCTGCAGTGTCTGTTTACGAACACATTTGACTATTGCGGAATTTTATTTTGAAATGCTTTATTTTGTTAACTTTACCGGCCTGCCTCTTATGTCTACGTTTGACTTCCTGCCAGAATTGACGCGATTCACCCGCGGCTCGCGAAAAAAATAGAGCCAACGCCGAAATGATCGCTGCACGGCGCGGGCTGGAGCGCCGGCGCGCGCCGGCGCGAGGCGATTCGCGGCGCTTCGGCGGCCCATGTGGTCTATAGAATAGCTTAACAAGGGCGCCGAATGAAGGCGGTCCCATTTTCGCCGGGGACACACCGGCCGCGGAAGCGCCGCGAAGCGCCGAGAAGCGAATCGCTCACGAAATTCGGCCGCTGCTCGCCGCTCCTCAGTTCAGATCAGACGCGCCCCAGTCGAGGCGCGCCTCGGCTCAGCTGTAGTTTTTCTTTTAAACACTTGGTGTCCTCCATTTCCTCTCTGCCTTTTCTCAGCTCTTTTCCTACGTTTGAGTGTTTGTGCGCGTGCGCGCGCGTGTGTGTGTGAACCTATGGTATGAGTTGTTTCTGCCAGTTGAATCTCTTGGAACCCGCTCCAATTCTGCAGCTGTATCCTAGCAGTTTCTTCCGACATGGGTACGTAAACAATCATGTTTTTCGGGGGTCGTACAGCTCCTTGTGTTTCTCAACTTCCATAATTAATTTAAAGTCATCCATCCTAACTGCTTGCCTCAGACATTCTGCCTCTCTGTCCTGTTTGCTCCGGTGAAAAGACACCCAAAACCACTCCCCCCTTCACGTGGTCACACACGCACACAAGTTCGATGTGTGTGTATGTGTGTGCGTGTTCGTGTGGTTTTTCTGCAGTGTCTGTTTACGAACACATTTGACTATTGCGGAATTTTATTTTGAAATGCTTTATTTTGTTAACTTTACCGGCCTGCCTCTTATGTCTACGTTTGACTTCCTGCCAGAATTGACGCGATTCACCCGCGGCTCGCGAAAAAAATAGAGCCAACGCCGAAATGATCGCTGCACGGCGCGGGCTGGAGCGCCGGCGCGCGCCGGCGCGAGGCGATTCGCGGCGCTTCGGCGGCCCATGTGGTCTATAGAATAGCTTAACAAGGGCGCCGAATGAAGGCGGTCCCATTTTCGCGGAGCTTCGCGGCGCTTCCGCGGCCAGTGTGTCCCCGGCCTTTCGCGGAGCTTCGCGGCGCTTCCGCGGCCAGTGTGTCCCCGGCCTCACGCTCCAGTTTTCCCTCACTCGTGAACAAGACCCCGAGATACTTAAACTCCTCCACTTGGGGCAGGACCTCATCCCTGACCCGGAGAAGGCATTCTACCCTTTTCTGAATCAAGACCATGGTCTCAGATTTAGAGGAGCTGATTCTCATCCCAGCTGCTTCACACTCGGCTGCGAAACGCTCCAGCAAAAGCTGAAGATCACGTTCTGATGAAGCCAACAGGACCACATCATCTGCAAAAAGCAGAGACCTGATCCTCAGGCCACCAAAACGGATCCCCTCCACACCTTGGCTGCACCTAGAAATCCTGTCCATAAAGGTTATGAACAGAATCGGTGACATGGGCAGCCTTGGCGGAGTCCAACTCTCACTGGGAACGAGCCTGACTTACTTACGACTTTAGTCGAATTTTTCATATAATAATAATAAATGACACAGAAACCAAACTGGATTAGAAAAGTCTGATTTTATTGTTCCGGAGTTAACGGGAGCTCCGCCTCCTGCTGTCATCAGAAACTGGCCTAAAAGCTTCATCAAACGAAATCTGACGGCATTTCCGTCGTTCTGCAGAAATCTGAGCCTCAAAAACATTTAAACCTAAATTTTGTAGAACCAAAGGTTCCTACGAAGCCCAAAATGTCTCATCTTGATCTCACGAGAATCAGCTACAAGCATCAAAAGGACCCGCTGATTACAAAATAAAACACAAGCCTCTGCTTTTATTCTGAAGGGAAAGAAACTCCCGCCCAACATGAACGGGATGGGATGCTCGAGCCAAACAAGTCCAAACCCAGAGAAACCAGTTCAGAACCTGCTGACTGAGTCCAGAACCAGATTCCGCAGCACCGCGAGTGGCACCGGCACCGACATGAAACGTCTAAATTAATCATTAGAAATTCAGAAACATTTACAGATTAAACATGTTTTAAATTATTCATTAATAAAAAAAAGCTTAAATTATGGAAAATATTCCTAAAATATCTGACCAAAATCTTCTAGTTCAGAGCTGCAACTTCCAGACGATTGTTTCAGTGAGACTCAGACTTCATCATTAATCAGGTTCTGATTGACGAAACCGAACCAAACAGAACCTCCCAGTGGGTTTAAAGTGCAGCAACATGATTAGAAAAGTAACGTCTCCAGCTCGTAAATCCTCACGTCGGTGGACTCTTCCTCTGCGTCTGGAGGTCGGATTTGTAGGTCGTTCACAGTTTGGATCTTGGACTTTGGTCCAGAACCCTCCTCATGTCCAGCAGCGCCTCCTCCACCGCGCGCGCCAGGTCTGCTGCTCTCGTTTCCTCACACGTGTTGAAGGACGACACAGCAAAGTTGATGTGGTCCTCCATGGGGTTGTAGCACACGCCGTAGCCGTCGGGCACCACCGGACCAAAACACATGACGCAGTCGGTCTTGGACGGAACCTTCAGGCGGGACGAGAGTTTGGGTTTTAGAGAGGATTTCTAGAGGGGACTGGTCCCGCTGTAGGAAGGTTCTGGTTTGGTACCTGACTGGTAGACAGACGGTAATGTAGAGCTTTGGCGTACGCCGGGTCTCTGAAGACGGCAGGAACTGAAAGATTCTCCTCCAGGGCCTGCATCTTCAGACCCAGAAGGTGTCTGTCGATGGCCTGCCCGCTGACCGCCTGCAGCAGGAAAATCACAACATCAAGATCAGAGCCGCCCCAAAAAATCAACGGATAGCCCTAAACTCCTCACTGCTGAGCGCTGATGTTAACTCACCATCGTTTTGCGCATTGACGCCAGCGAGAACGGTAAACTACGACTGAACGATCCATCGTTTTTGGACCGAAATTGCGATTTCAAACAGCACGATCACGTGACCGTGAAAGCTGCGGTTTTAGCTGTTTTGACTGATCCAGGATCAGTTGTGTAACTTTTTTTTGGGAGTTGGGTTTCCCCCCCGTGTTATGGCGGCGGCAAAAGCCAGCGCGGGGGAGGGGGGTGGGGTGCACCATCCAGAGCCGAGCCCAACTCCACAGCTGCCAGAGCTGCATGTTCAGGTTATTTCCCTGTTTTATGTTCCCACACACAGCGCTGCTAGAGCCGATAATAATGCACCGTAGGTGAGCCCGGGACAGAGAGAGAGAGAACGTAGTTGAGTAGGGGAGAGAGAGACTCCTCCCACATCAGCAGGTTCAGGCTGGTTTCTAGAGCGTGGTTCATGCTTCATCAGCGCGAGAGCAGAGTTGCGCGCTTTAGTTGACTTGAAAGCTCAACTTGTCTTTTAAAAATGGTCTGAATGTTTCTGATGGCACACGTTAGCTCAGACAAGCTAAGGTGTCCGAATGCGTGCGTCTCTCTCACGGAGCTGACGTCAGTGAGGAAAAAGTATCAGACAGCTTCAGCCTGCCGCCGTAACGCAGGAAAACTGTGCTTTTGTTATTTAATACAGTTAAAAGCTGTTTCTACCTACAGATCTCCTCCATGCAGGTTTGGAGTAGAACATGTGTTTATAAAGCTCCTCTAGATAAAAATCACAAGTTGCTTCACAAACACATAAAAAAGATAATAATGGGAGAAAAGATTAGTAGATTTAACAGTTTTTACTGTATGATTAAATAGTAAATATTAACGTGAATGATTTGTTGTACTAGATTATAATCTAGACCATCTTTTCACTTCATCTACAGGATGGCTTGGCAGGCTAGTGTTGGACCTTTGTTTGCAGAAAATCGTGAATTGAACCGAAATCGCAATTTCTGCTGGAAAAATTGCGATTGAATATTTTTGTAAAATCATTCAACCCTACGCTAAACTCACCGTTCTTAGTGCTGATGCCAACGATAACCAACATTTTCCATCCATGCATTTTCATCCGCTTATCCGGAGTCGGGTCGCGGGGGCAGTAGCCTAAGGCGAGAGGCCCAGACTTCCCTCTCCCCAGCCACTTGGGCCAGCTCCTCCGGGGGAATCCCAAGGCGTTCCCTGGCCAGGTGAGAGGCATAGTCCCTCCACCGTGTCCTGGGTCTCCCTTTAGGTCTCCTCCCAGTTGGACGTGCCCAGAAAACCTCACCAGGGAGGCGTCCAGGAGGCATCCTGACCAGATGCCCGAGCCACCTCAACTGGCTCCTCTCGATTTGGAGGAGCAGCGGGTCTACTCCGAGCCCCTCCAGAATGACCGAGCTTCTCACCCTATCTCTAAGGGAGAGCTCAGCCACCCTGCGGAGAAAACTCATTTCGGCCGCTTGTATCCGCGATCTCGTTCTTTCGGTCATTACCCAAAGCTCATGACCATAGGTGAGGGTAGGAACATAGATCGACCGGTAAATCGAGAGCTTCACCTTATGACTCAGCTCTCTCTTCATCACGACAGACCGGTACAACGCCCGCATCACTGCAGATGCAGCACCAATCCACCTATCGATCTCACGCTCCAGTTTTCCCTCACTCGTGAACAAGACCCCGAGATACTTAAACTCCTCCACTTGGGGCAGGACCTCATCCCTGACCCGGAGAAGGTGTTCTACCCTTTTCCGACTCAAGACCATGGTCTCAGATTTAGAGGAGCTGATTCTCATCCCAGCTGCGAACCGCTCCAGCGAAAGCTAAAGACCACGTTCTGATGAAGCCAACAGGACCACATCATCTGCAAAAAGCAGAGACCTGATCCTCAGGCCACCAAAACGGATGCCCTCCACACCTTGGCTGCTCCTAGAAATCCTGTCCATGAAGGTTATGAACAGAATCAGTAACAAAGGGCAGCCTTGGCGGAGTCCAACTCTCACTGGGAACGAGCCCGACTTACTGCCGGCAATGCGGACCAAGCTCTGACACCGGTCATACAGGAACCTAGCAGCCCGTATCAGAGGGTCTTGGTACCCCATACTCCCGGAGTACCCCCCACAGGCCCCCCGAGGGACGCGGTCAAACGCCTTATCCAAATCCACGAAACACATGTAGACTGGTTGGGCAAATTCCCACTCACCCTCCAGGATCCCCCTAAGGGTATAGAGCTGGTCCAGTGTTCCACGGCCAGGACGAAAACCACATTGCTCCTCCTGAATCTGAGGTTCAACAATCCAATGGACCCTCCTCTCCAGAACCCCTGAATAGACCTTACCAGGAAGGCTCAGGAGTGTGATCCCCCTGTAGTTGGAACACACCCGGCGGTCCACCTTTTTAAATAAGGGGACCACCACCCCGGTCTGCCAGTCCAGTGGGACTGCCCCCAATGTCCACGCGATATTGCAGAGCCATGTAAGCCAACACAGCCCCACAACATCCAGAGGCTTAAGGAACTCCGGGCTGATCTCATCCACCCCTGAAGCCTTGCCACAGAAGAGCTTTTAACCACCTCAGTGACCTCAGCACCAGAGATTTGAGAGGCCAACCCAAAGTCCCTAGACTCTGCTTCCTCACTGGAAGACGTGTCGGTGGGATTGAGGAGGTCTTTGAAGTATTCTGCCCACCGATCCACAACATCCTGAGTAGAGGTCAGCAGCAGAGCGTCCCCACTATAGATAGTGTTGGTAGCGCACTGCTTTCCCTCCTGAGGCGCCGGATAGTGGACCAGAATCTCCTCGAAGCCGTACGGAAGTCTTGCTCCACGGTCTCACCGAACTCCTCCCATGCTCGGGTTTTTGCCTTGACGACCACCTGAGCCACGTTCTACTTGGACTGCCGGTACCCTTCAGCTGCCTCTGGAGTCCCACAGGCCAAAAAGACCTGATAGAACTCTTTCTTCAGCCTGACAGCATCCCTAACCGCCGGTGTCCACCAGCGGGTTCAGGGGTTGCCACCATGACACCGACGATCCTGCGGCCACAGCTCCGGTCGGCCGCTTCAACAATGGAGGCATGGAACAGGGTCCATTCAGACTCAATGCCCCCCGCCTCCCCCGGAACATTTTGGAAGTTCTGTCAGAGGTGGGAACTGAAGCTCCTTCTGACAGGAGACTCTGCCAGATGTTCCCAGCAAACCCCCGTGATACGTTTGGGCCTGCCTGGTCTGACCGGCATCCTCCCCCACCATATGAGCCAACTCACCACCAGGTAGTGGTCAGTTGACAGCTCCGCCCCTCTCTTCACCCGAGTGTCCAAGTCATTCGGCCGCTGGTCAGATGAAAAACAACAAAGTCGATCATCGAGCTGCGGCCTAAGGTATCGTGGTGCCAAGAGCACATATGGACACCTTTACGTCTGAACATGGTGTTCATTATGGACAATCCATGACTGGCACAGAAGTCCAATAACAAAACACCACTCGAATTCAGATCGGGGGGGCCCTTCCTCCCAACCCCACCTCTCCAGGTCTCACCGTCGTTGCCCACGTAAGCGTTAAAGTCCCCCAGCAGAACGAGGGAGTCACCAGAAGGAGCGCTCTCCAGCACCCCCTCCAAGGTCTCCAAACAGGGTCGGTAGTCTGAACTGTAGTTTGGTGCATGAGCACAGACCACAGTCAGAACCCATCCCCCCACACGTAGGCGGAGGGAGGCTACCCTCTCATTCAAACCCCAACGTACAGGCACCAAGATGGGGGGCAACTAGTATGCCCACCCCTGCTCGGCGCCTCTCAGTGGGAGCAACTCCAGAGTGGTAGAAAGACCAACCCCTCTCAAGGAAACTGGTTCCAGAGACAGAGCCATGCGTTGAGGTGAGTCCGACTATATCTAGTAGGAACCTCTCAACCTCACACACCAACTCAGGCTCCATCCCCACCAGAGAGGTGACATTCCAATTTCTAAACTTTAGTACTTTTCTTGGATGTGATGGTGCATTCAGGGACAGCTCGTAAACCGGAACACCTGAATCCACGAAGGTTGACTCACACAGAAAACCTGATTTCAGGTCAAACCCTAAAAAGCTACAAACTTTAACAGCAAAAACCAAGATGAAGGGTTCTTTTGTTTGTTGTTATTCCTGTTTGGATTGGAACCGGTCAGGTGAATCCTCACCATGGCGGTGTACGATCGATGGGCTCTCACCGCTCTCTCCATTAAATCCACCTTTTCTGGGTTCTGTGGACAACAGGGAGACGGGTCACGGGTTCAACAGGTTCTGAGATGTTTGGGTTAAACTGCAGAATAAACAAATGATCGAAAACAGAACTCATTCTGTCAGATTTCAGACAGAAAACTGGTTATTCAGATGAGCGGTGAGGGACTTTCACACCCAGATAAAATCAGAGTGCTAGTAGTTGTGACCTGGTTGGGTTGGTTTGGGTTAAAAAAGCTGCTGACCTGTTTGCTGGGATTGTCGAAGGCCTTCACAAAGGAGGCTGAGGAATTAGAGGCAGATCGGATGGTATCGGTTCGACCCAGCCGGAACATTCGCAGCGAAGCACTCTCATAGGTGGCACAGCAGGTCCGGTACATCCTGCAGACGAGAAGCCGTCAGACGGTCCGATACGGTACTGGTAACGCCTCAGAGGTTAAATATTATTCCCAAATTCAGAATAAAACTTTAGAAAGCTCGAGTGCTGGTGCCGTTTTCCTTCCTGAGCAGCAGGGGGCAACGGCATGACAGAAACTCCTCACTCAAAACTAAATCCTGAATCAGACCGGAGGTGTTACTCAATGCCAAGGAACCTCGCCTTGATGTCTTGGCCCCGCCCCGGTTGCCTAGGAGATACGTCATCGGGAGCCGCCAAGATGTGTTCCAATGTTCATGTTCTACCGAGGCGTGTTCTCCGTTTGTTAGCCGTTTAGCTAGCTGAGCGAGGATACACGGGAGGTGTCTTGTAGCCTAGCCTTGGCCAAAAATTACCCAGAATACACCGCGGTATTTTCAAACGGACGGCGGATCAGAAGCCGGCAGCTACTTCGGGGACAATTTTCAAGTTTAAAAGTAAGTCAGCTAATTTAAAATGTTATTTTAGATCCAAAGAAGTTATCTATGGTTGGTTAGTAGCTTAGTAGTTGCAGCTTCGGTGGCTAGCGGGTAGTAACTCACTTATATTTTTAATTTAATAAACATGTACACAATTTATAAAGTAAAAGGCTCGTTATATATTTATATTGAAACTAATACGTATAAAATATAACGTTGTCTCTCGTGTCACGTGACGTTACGTGACTGCCGTGGAAGCCACGGTCACGTGATGCAAGTCTGTTCCATTTAACCGTTTTCTTTGACCAAGGAAGGGCCGTCGGGCACGATTAAAAGACAGTAGACCTACCAGAGGATCGGATATGAACGATCGTGTGCTAATAACCCACAGAGAAGAAGCCTTAAGTTTTATTCAGAAACCTATCAGACTTCTGACTAAACAGTGTCAGTCAAAAAGGTCTCAAGAAAAAAAAAACATCAGGAAAAAAAAGGAATCAAGAAAACAGCTTCGAGGAAAAAGTTGTCAACCAAAAGACTTCAGGAAAATGTTTTGGTTTGACAGCTTTTTTCCTGAAGCTGTTTTTCCTGATTCCTTTTTGTCTGCTGGTTTTTTCCTGAGACCTTTTAGACTGACACTAATTAGTCAGAAGTCTGATGGTTTTTCTCTTGTCTCTATGGTTTGATGCCTGACACCTGAGGATGTCCTAAAATGTACACTGTACGCCGTAAAAACCACAAGTCCTATCTGCAAAGATGCACGTAATGGCCAGAAAAGCATATGTGTGTTAGGCAACTATTGATCTGTATCAGATTTATTAGTCTAGAGGTTAGTGCCAGGTTAGCATACCGTTTTGCACCGGTTTGCCTCCCCGTCTCAGCAGTAACTTTTTTCTTCTGTTTTAGCTGCACTTGCCTCTCAAGATCTTTGAATTTGGTCGTTTTCAAGCAGCATTTTAGGCGATTTACTCTTAAAGTTTACGTCACGGAGTAAAAGTTCGGCAGACGCGTTTGTTTATATCCAGGTAGGGGGAGGGGGGACTCGGTGCTGCACACAGACAGCTGGTGTGATCAGCTCTGGAAAGCGTTGATCACAATTTGCAGGTCAGGTTTATTTTTCACGGAGATCGGCCGCGGATTCCTCTTCCGTCAGCATTCTAGGAATCGAAATAAAAACTTTGAACGATTCCGGGAAAAACTAACAGTTGGTCCCGGTTCCAATCGATGCTCGATGCCCAACCCTAAATGTAGCTGTGACAGAAAAATGCATGAATGCAGCCAAAATCGGGTTTGGGGGTATTTCTCATGAGGAAATGACGATATCACAGGGTAAAAAGCTCCAAAAGTGGATTTTCCATGAAATGAAACCTTTTATAATCTCACCTGTAGTAGGCCAGCTGCAGAGCTACCTGTATAAACGCATCCGGACTCATCTTGTTGGCTTTTGGAATGTTCTTCCCAAAGTGTTTGAACACTGTAACCTTCATGTCCAGGTCCTGGGCCAGCCTGAGAAGAGACAACATTAGGATGGAGAGACTGTCTTTGTGGTTAAGGAAGGCTGCTCTCACCTGTTCATGCTGCGTTCGGCCTCTTCAATGTTCTTCCGTATCTCAGGTGTGACGCTGAACTGGAGTTTAAGAGGCGGCGGCAGAGACGAGGCGGGAGACTGAACCATCTCAGGCTTCCTCCTGATTCAGGAGAAGAAATATGGGGGTGGGAAACCTTCATCACGTTAGCATCAAGATGGAAAACTACTGGATCTGCTGTCCCTGATCCTGATAACTGGATTTCTTCTGTTTGGACCGGGACGATTTCTGGTATTTTGGAAAATTGGGAAGTCGGGGGCGACTGGAGTGCAACCCGTACCCATGGAACGCCTCAGCTGTGTGGAGACGAGTCAGACTAGGACGTCACTCGAGGCGAAGCGCAGTTCTAGCTGCGATCCCGGTGTTTGTGCGTGAGACGGATGTGATCCCGGAGAAAGACGCTGCACGGTACGGGCAAGTTTGAACCCAAAAACTGGATTTACTGAGAGACTGGAACGATCCGTTTAGAGAAAATTATCTCCGCCTGACCCAAAGAATTCTTCTTATCTGAATCTGGCGCCCTGAGCTGCGAGGAGAGAAAACCTCCGTGAAGGAATGCAGACAGGTGCTGTGAAGTCCCAACCCCCCCTTCAGATTGGCGATCTTAGCCTGGCAAGGTCATCAACGGAAGGAGTCAATGTACTCTTCACTCCCTCGGTCTCCCTCCCACCTGTGCTGCAACAGTGATGAGCGTGTGAGGCGGCTGCTCTCTGGGGAGAACGGGGTCCCAGCCCCAGGATTACTGACATGTTGTGTATGGTGGGGTGTTCTGATGTCCATAATAGATATTGGTCTGTGTGTGTTGGTTTCCTACATACAGGAAGTAATCAGAACATTATATCACCGAGCAAACATGGTAACAGAAGAAAGAGACCGTAAACAAGAGGACAAACACATACAACACGCTTTAAAGACCTGCAGATACCCGACATGGGCGATAAACAAAGGAAAACAACAAACAACAACAGAAAGAAAAGAACAACCAAAGCAAAGAAGCAGAAACCCAGAAAGACAAGAACCAAAACCAGTGATGACCCTACCATACATCAGAGGCATAACAGAAAAAATAAGAGCAACAATGAAAAAACACAACATAAACACACCAACAACACCATACACAACAGTTAGAAACAGACTAGTACACCCAAAAGACAAAATACCAGCTGGACTTAAATGTGGAGTCGTTTACAAAATCCCATGCAAACTCTGCAATAAAACATACGTAGGAGAAACTGGACGCCAACACAACACACGAACAATAGAACATAGAAAGGAGTGTGAGAAAGAAACTAGTCGAAGACACACAAGAGCAGCAAAAGAAGTAGCAGGAAGTACAATAAAGAAGTCAGCCGTAACAGATCACTGCATAAGAGAAAACCATGTAATGGACTGGGACAACACAAGGATCATAAACACCGAACAACAGAAATACAGAAGATGGATAAAAGAAGCTATCGAGATAAGGAGACGTGGATGTGGGACCATGAACAGGGACGATGGAGTTTACACGTTGGACCGCGCATGGGACTGCATCATCGGAGAGGGGAGAGTGGGCAGTAGAGGGCGACAACGTCCTCTGCTGCCCGCAGATAAACGGAGAAGGAAGTGACGCCACCATCAGCGTCAGCTCTGAGGAAGTCTGCAGCCGCAGACGAAACGTAGCGAAAAAACAGGTAACGGAACCGTTTGTGTTTTAAAAAAGAACGACAACATGGAATTAGTTTGCTAATGCTGATGAGCTGAGGCGGCCATCTTGAATGAGACTGACTCTTAATCTGTAGACGCTGTCTGAATTTTATCAAAGTTCATCCAGATGTTTCTAGAGCCTCTGATGGACCTAACCCTTACGTGTACTCCACCACATGGTCGATCAGAGCCACGATGGGCGGGCCTTCAGCTGGAGCGTGCTCGTAGTTCGCCCCACACGTTCCATCTTCACCAACGATGAACTGAAAAAAAGTTGAGACAGAAACTTTGAAACTGTCCTCCAGCTTGACCCTCTGCTCCCGCCCTGTCTGTTGGAAGGTCTTGGCATCAGTATCAGATCTGCTCGGGAGCCCGGCGCCGGTCGATGACGTCGCTCTACGGGAACGCCACTCGCACACTAACCAGCTCATTACTAAAGCGACTACCAGACTCAACAAAACAGCTCTCGAAATACCACTCATAAATGACTGCGTTTCCACTGCAGAAGTGCTGGGAACTTTCTGGGCGCTGACAGGGAAAATATGCCGTCCCCTCCCTCTCAGTGACGTTACGGATCCATGAAGATCAACAACAGTTTTATTCTGTAAAAGTACGCCGTGACGTTCGCTTCAGGGACGGGGCGAGCGGCTGAGGTCGGTAAAAGCGACGTTCAATGACCAGAAGAACTGTCGTTTTTCACGACACTTTGCAGGGGACCACATAACACAGGGGTCGGCAACCTGTTCCCATCAAAGAGCCATTATTACCCGTTTCCCACAGTAAAGAAAACACCGGGAGCCACAGCAGCCGCGGTGTTGTGGGCGGGGCCTACCCTCAGACAGCAGAGAGCTGCTTTAACCAATCACAACAGGTGACAGCAGCCAGTACCGGTGGCTCGTGTACATCAAAGCTATCTTTCATAAGAAGATAATCAATAAAACGATTTATATGAAATGAATCCAGAAGTTGTAACCCGTCTCTGCTACAATATTTAAATATTTTTCACCCTGTTGGTGGTTTTACTGAGCAGGTGCCACTTTTGTCATACGTTTCTTTTTAAAACATGTTTAGACTGTTCAGAATACAAATCCAGGCTCTGTCACGTTTGATTGTTGTAATTAAACTTTGTAGGTGGGGAAGGTCAGAAAAGGACCCCATCATTTTGTTTTTCCCTCATTTACAGCGACGGAGATAACGGCGCAGTGCACCTGGCTCTGGTGTTAATCAAGTTTAATTATATCTCTTTGCAACAATTTTCACAAGAAAACAGAACAGTTAAAAGCAGGGCTTGTGTTGTGTTGACTGGATAGTTCCCGTATTTGACCGTTTATTTTGACAGAGAAAGAATAGAAAGAATTATCCCGACGCATGCAGACGAACTGACATTTTATTCTTCACACATCGCAGATGTAGCTAAATCACCCAAGAAAAGATTCCCATCTGAACATCTGAGCTGGACACTGCTCAGCGCAGCTCGCTGTCAGCGTGTACTACATAAGGTCCACAGCGAGCTGAAGATGTGGAGAGGGGCTTGGAGTGCGTCGCAGAACCAGAGCGCATGCGGGAAGATTCCTCCCACTGAAGCGAGACTTGTCACTTAGAAAATGTTCCCTGATTATGAAACTTTGGCTGAATAGCGCTTGTTCCTGTCTCCAATGTGGCGACGCATCCAGGAGCCGTCTGAGGAGAATCCCAGAATCTCACATCCTCGTCAGCTCAGGAAGCGCCGATATGATTACGCACAAGAGTGACCCGTCAACCCGGTCCCACAGTAAGACCGGGTTGGACCTATTCAGGTTTACGCAGACAATCTTTACATTTAGAATTGGCATACAGATGTAAAATTAATGCAGTAAAATATAAAGCATTTTATTTAAATATCCATTCATTATTTTACAAGCACAGAGAGCCGCATCAGATGGATGGAAGAGCCGCGGGTTGCCGATCCCCGACATAACACATCATGGCATTGTGTGTGTGTGTGTTGGGGGGGGGGGGGGGGGGGGGGGGGGTTCTGCCGGGTTGTTCAGCGTTGGGAATTTAGAAACAGCCACTTCAAATCTGCGTTTTCTTCTTCCGTTCTGCTTCACCAGCAGCTCTTCCAATTGTTGTCCAACTGAATTAGAACCAATCAGCATTGAGTTAACCACAAGCCCCGCCCAGTGATTCTACTGGGCCATATCAGAGTACACACCCCAAGGCAGGTACTCAGTTGGTCCCTGAAGTGACCCGGACTGGAGGCGTGCGCGTAGGCAGGAGCTGGTGGAAACCCATGGCTGTTTGTGTAAGTACACTTCATGTGTCCTCATGTTGTTGCTCTTTGTTCAATAAAGTTGTTTTAAATAGAGACCCATTTCACAAGGGTGGTGCAGTCTGGGATGATCTATCGTAACAACAGTAATGATGATAATCGTCCATGTTGCCTACAGAAAAGAACTACAACTCCCAGCAGATCTGGTACCGGAGCCTCCTAAAGATGGTTCTAGATCCTACTACACCTGAGCAGGTCACCTGCAGCGTCTTGTCAAACCAGCGGTTCCCGCTGTTCCAGTCGCTGCCTCCTCCGTGTAACATCTGGACCGCGGCGCAGCTGCGGTACTCGTCATCAGACACACGAGGCATGGCTCCGTCGAGGCACAAGGCGAAGATGCTCCTCTGGATGGAGGTGACCGACTCTTTGTTGGTTTTGTCTGGAAGCAGAAAACAGATGAGGTCTCGTTCCCGTTCGCAGAGAAAGTCTTCAGGATTAGAAACGTTCTCTAGTTTTGTTCAGAACTGCTCACCTGAGATCAGCTTGAGGTACGCTCTGCCCCAGGTGTCTCGATGCAGAGTGGTGAGCAGTCCAACGCGATCCGTGTCGGCCTCTGGCGAGGCGCTGCAGATCCTCTGGAGCTGAACGCTGAGCTGATCTGTCGTCAGAGGAGTCCCGTCGCTGTTGTACACCATCAGCTCAAAGAACTGGTGGGAGAGCCAGGGGTTAAAGGTCAAAGCACTGGGTTAGAGGCAGGGTTCCTACAGTCTGAATGAACTCTAGACGAGTCCTCTCCTTTGTCCCATGGAAGTGGATTCTCCTGCTCTTAAAGGGAGCTTCTCGATGTTAACGTCTGACCATCGCCATGACAACGAACACGTGTCCTGCTGGGAGTCTAACAGTGAGTTGGACGTTTGATCTCTGATCGGTTTGAGAAAAGTGTTGATTTTTACATCAGAAGAACGTGATTTACCGCGGCGGAACAGAAAACGCCAACGGGTTTATTGTCAACCACACGGGGGTGCAGCAGGACTTAAAGGTCTGTTCAAGTCTTCGGATGAAAATTCTTCTGCTTTTTTATTGCAGCGTGAATTTTTTCCAACCGCACTCAGCCCTAGGCAGCTACCAGCTTCAGATCCACCTCCAAGGAACCCAAGAACCTGTAGGAACCCAATAAAGGTGGAGAGAAAACGCCGCTGGCCTCGGTCAGTTTTTATGATTTCCCCGTCAGGCCGAGTCCTCACAGGGACGCTATCTATCAATCAATCAATCAATCAAAGCTTTCTTTATAAAGCGCCTTCCCCAACCCTGTCAGGAAGCCCAAAGCGCTGAACATGGTTCAGTTGAAGGTAAATATAGTGAATAAATCAAAAATAAAAGCAATACAAATTACAAAATAGGTGACGTGACAACAAAAATGCATAAAAGCCAATAAAAGCCAGTAAAAAGCAAGGTACCACTGCATAAAGAGGACGAGCAGCTCGCAGCGTGCACCCGCGCGAGCGCCATCTCAATCTGGACCTGCTACCCCTGGACTAGAGCCCTGCACTGGAGCCCTAGGCCCGCGGGTCGGCCCGGGCTTCGGGCCAACGACCTAATTACCTCGGACACGGGCCTTTATTTTTAATTGAATTCATAAAAAAACTGAAACACTTGAACGCAGCAGCACCTGCCTGCTTCTCACGCACCGTTAGCTCAGTTAAGGTGTGTGTGGTTCATAAATGCGCCGATATAAACAAATTCTCAAACAGCTGATTGAAACATGTGCCCCTGTTCTCATACGCCATTTTATGTCCACTTTGATATGTCAGAAACATTCGTTTATTCTCATGAAAACGGCAGCATTCTGTTTTTCTGTGAATAAATTCGTTCTGCAGTTAAAAACTTACAGCATTCATTGCTGGGTTTTTCTAACTGGAGAGCGCATTTTCAGAGCGGCAGATTAAACTTACAAACGCTATAATAATTGGGGGCGTTTATTTAATCTGCAGTTAGAAAACTAGAACGCTGCTTTTTTTTCTAATTGCACAAGAGCGCGTTTTCAGAGCAGATTAAATTTACAAACGCATCCAATTAATATAGTGTTCGTAAATTTCATCTGCCGCTCGAAAAATACGCTCTGTTAGAAAAAAAAGCTGCATGAATGCTGTCTGTGAAGGTTCTCAGTCATCCAGGTCATTGTAGTCTAAGGAGCTTTGAAAGAAAAGCGTCTGGACTTGTTTGAGTTGCTTGAAGACGTTTCACCTCTCATCCGAGAGGCTTCTTCAGTTCTAAGGTCAAATGGTGGAGAGTCCCAGATTCAACTCAGGTTGAAATGGAGGTGGTTCCTGTAATCCGCTAGTTTTCTAGATTCCCTTTCATATTCCCGCACCAGTTTTGGGAGGAACACCCCGGGTCGGGCTGGAGCTCCACCCCCTCGGGTGCAGGCTCTACCCTGGACTTCTCTGAGCCAACATGTGGTGATGTCACCAGCAGCATTCCTCACCTGGAAGTTGTGGACCACCGTGATGTGTCTGGGAGGCGGCGAGCTCTTGGCGTGATTCACCACCGAGTCCCTCTTCACCCCGGGGACACGGCAGGAGGACAGGACCTCGTAGTACTGGTTCATGCACAGAGGCTTCCCCCCCATGTACTCCACCGGAAGAGTTTCACTGAGGAGAGCACATCAGGAATCAAGATGGAGGTCTGGTGTTTGTGAAGAAAACCCTCCGGCATGTTCAACCAGACCCATGATCTGCATCAGGAATTCACATGGCACCGCGCTCCTTTAATTCACTCGTTCATTTTAACTTCTGAGGTGAAACTGGAGTTACTCACTTATCGATCATCGTTTTGAAGTCCAAAACGCCGGCGATCAGTTTAGCGGCAAAGCTGAAAAGGAAAAAGGTCCATTATTCCATCCTGTAGGAACATTTGTCCTTTTTCAGCTTAAAAAGGGAATTCTTTGTGGAATTTTAAAGGATTTGTTTATAATGAAGGCCTTAAGTGGGAAAAACGCTTTATAAAAGGAACAGAGACAGGAAATCATCTTAAACATCTGTAGTGATGACAAATGGACAGCTATCAGAACCAGAACCAGGTCCGACTGTTGGTTAAACACCCATCTGGTCTGATTATTACCCACAACATCCCAAAGCTGATCTCAGACCAGATTTAGTGTTCAGAGGCTAGACGGCTGACCTGATTTGACCCTGCTTATCAGTGAAGTCCATGCGAGGCAAGACCAAGCCCGGACTGGAGTGGACCACCACCGGCATCCGGAAGTCTAGATAAGCCACCTGAACCCACCACTGAGACAGCTGCAGAGACACGAGCACAGACCTGAGATCAGGGGTCTCGTAAATCATCACGTGGGTAAAAACATCACCAAAACAGGTTTTTATCATCTAAAGAACATCGCCAGAGTCCGCCCCGTTCTCTCTCGGGCCGATACGGAGACGCTGCTGCATGCTTGTATCACCAGTAGACTAGACCACTGCAATGCCCTGCTTTCTGCTCTTCCTAAAAAGAGGATTTCAGGTCTACAACTTCTACAAAACTCAGCAGCACGTGTCCTGACGAAGACCAGGAGGCGGGAGCACATCACTCCAGTTTTAGAATCGCTGCATTGGCTCCCCGTATGTTTCAGGGTCGATTTTTAAATACTTTTAACGGTTTTTAAGTGTCTTAACGGTCTTGGGCCTTCCTGTCGTTCAGAACTGCTTTTGCCGTATGAACCCACGCGGTCTCTGCGCTCCTCTGGCAGCCGTCTCCTTGTCATCCCTAAAGTCAGGACTCATATTCACGGCGAGGCGTCCTTCCAGTACTACGGTCCTCGCCTCTGGAACGAGCTGCCAGGGGACCTCAGGGCCGCAGAGAACGTTCATGTTTTTAGAAAAAGACTCAAGACTCATCTTTTTAGCTTAGCTTCTAACTGAATACGCTCACTTTTTTAATTAATTAATGAATTAATTAGGTTATTTATTTATTTATTTGATGTATTCTTTCTTTATACGTGCTTTTTAAACCGTTTTTTTCCATAGATTTATGATCAACATTATTTTAATATCTATATAACTTTTTATATTACAATTCTCATTTTAGCTCTTATGATTTTATATTTTAACCTTAATTTAACCTTTTTCCAGTGTTTCCTCTGTGGGAGCCCTCTGCCCCGGCGGCGGTGGTCGGCTGTGGTGGCCTGGGTGCTTTCCCGGTGTGCCTGGGCGGAGGTGGGGGGGTCTCCGCCCTCCCTGGCCTGGGCGCCCTGTGTCGGTGCCGTGGATCTGCTGCTGTCGGGGCAGATGGCTCCCCTGATGGCGTTTCCTTATCCTTATCTTAGCTGGTCTGGCTTATCTAATCTCAGCCCATTGTGTTTTTTCCATGGGGAGGGGGGGTCATGCGTGTGCATGTGTGCAGGAGGAGGAGTGTTGAGAAGAGGTTTTTATTGTCAAACTGTTTATAAAATTCTGGGGATGGGAGGGAATGTGGGTGTGTGGGGCCTTTTTAACTTGTTAAGCACTTTGAGTTGCATGATTAAGTGCTCTATAAACCAAGTTTGAGTTGAGTTTGAGTTTAACGGAGAGGAAGAGAGTCACACAGGGCGCCTGAACCACACAGCCAGGTGCTGACGTCAGTTTTAAAATGATCCTAAAATCAGGTTTGTTTAGTTGGATGTTTTCATAAACTCAAAAACAAAAAAGAGAGAGAAAAGCTGAAAAATAAACAAAGTCCAGAGAACTGCTCATCCAGAACCAACCAGGACCAGGAGTTCTGGACAGGATCAGCTCCAGACCAAACTACTGCAGGTGTGTAAATGGGTCTGGACCTCTCCATCATTTGCAGTCAGACCTGAACGCAGCTGCTTCTTTTCTACCAGGCTTTAGGGCACTGGACCACATGGGTCCAGGTGAAACAGGTCTGAGTTCAGCTCTAGAGGACCGGGTCTTTCCAGAACCGAATCCTGGACCAGCCTGCAGCTGCAGGGTTAGAGTTGGGACTGCACACCTGCAACAGTGACACACGGGACGTGGACTTACCCAATTCTCAGAGCTCTGTGCTCTCTTTTCCAGGCCTTTCTGCAGATGTTCTCCGATTCCTCCGGTTTTCTGGAACTCCTGAACGAGTTCCTTAGTGTGGGTCAGCTCATCGGCCTCCACGATGGGCTCCAGGGCCAAGATGTAGCGCTCACAGGTCTGCTGCAGCGGGGGCACAGGCAGACACGGTAGCCCCCTCTGGTGGGTCAGGTACCGGCCAGAGACCCGAGTCGCTGAGACTGGCTTCACCAGGTGTCGCAGTCGCACTAATCCACACGTCTTCGCCATCCCCGCCTTTCCAGATTAAACATAAGAGCAAACTTTAATCAGGAGATGAAATGATCTGATGATTATAATTCTGTTAGAATTAAATTAATCTGATTAACTGGTGAATTTGTTACAACTTAATTCTATCAAAACCATTCTGAAGGTTTGATCTGGATTTTGTCTTCAGAGAACAAACCTAGGTTCAGGTAAAGGTTAAAGTTCAATCACACAGAGGTGATATAAATCATCAGCAGGTCTGATGAAGGACGTCCAGCTCATGACCTGGATCAATATCTGGGTCAAACGTTTTAATACAATTAAACTTTAACCCTTTAAAGCTTTGAAAACTTTGGTTTTGCCTTTTTTTATTATTATTTAGAGACGATGAGTGTTGATCACAATATTGTAAGGTAATTAAACTTTTTTTTAAACATTCTTAGATTTAAAACTGTGTTTAAGTCCATTTATTTTTAAGTTAAGTTTAGAGCTTGAATCTACAGACTAACACGTGATCCACCAAGTCGCTGACCTGCAGGTCAAAAGGTTATAAACATTTATTATATTTATAAATGGTAAATGTTTGAATTCTTAAAACCACAAACGGAAGAAAACATCCCACATAAAAAAAATTAGCTGAAAAAAATCCTCCAAGTATTTATTATACTTGATTATAAAAGTCCAGAACAAAACTAAAATCCAAGAAAACGTCATTAATCCCGAAGAGAAATTAGGTTTAAGAAACTCAGTGGGACAAATGAGTCATAAACTGGGTATTAAATGTTCTTTAGTTTGCTTTTATAACCTAGCAACAACAGGTCCTGGTCGATAACTTTAAATATGTTTCCGTTATGAGTGAATGTTTATGATTCTGGGTTAACTTTAACCTCACCTTTGACCCCGTTGTTAGCCTGTTAGCCACTGAAGCTAACTAGCTCCGTTCACTTTCATGTTAACTTTGCTAACAGTTAGCTAACTTCGCCGCTCAGTTTAAGTTGGAAAACATGAAATAAAAAACATTAGATTCTATAAACGCATGACAGCAAAGGAATGGAACATTTAAATGAAGCCAGGTGATCCAAAACAGTTAGCTTTAGCGGAGTAAAAGAGCTACTGAAACAAAAGCTAGCTGAACGTCACTCACCGCAGTTCTGCTGCAAATGCCCATCATTCTGTCTGATAACACAGAAACGCCCACAAATTGATCCCAGACGAGCGGACTCCAGGCTCGGTCTCACCGGGCAGACACACCGGAGACAGGACCTGAAAAAGTTCGAAACCAGACAGGAGCAAAGGCTGGTAAAGTCCGTCAGAAGGGTGTGACCTGACCTGACCTGACATGAGTTGTAGTAAAGTAGTTTTCCCCGGTAGTCACTTTTCCCGAGTGAGGGTAGGAGGGATCGGGAGATCGACAGGCGGATTGGTTCGGGGTCTGCAGCGATGCGGACACTGAGCAGATCTGTCGTGGTGAAGAGGGAGCTGAGCCAGAAAGCCAGGCTCTCGATTTACCGGTCGATCTACGTCCCAATCCTCACCTATGGTCATGAGCTTTGCAATGACTGAAAGAACGAGATCACGGATACAAGCAACCGAAATGAGTTTCCTATGTAGGGTGGCCAGGCTCAGCCTTAGAGATAGAGTGAGGAGCTCGGACATTCGGGAGGGACTCGGAGTAGAACCGCTGCTCCTCCAGATCGAAAGGAGTCAGTTGAGGTGGTTTGGGCATCTTGTCAGGATGCCTCCTGGACGCCTCCCCGGGGAGGTGTTTCGGGCATGTCCTGCCGGCAGGAGACCCCCGGGTTGACCCAGGACACGTTGGAGAGGTTACATCTCCAATCTGGTCCGGGAACGCCTTGGGGTCCTGCCGGAGGAGCTGGTGGAGGTGGCCGGGGAGGGGACGGTCTGGAGCTCCCTAGTTGGGTACCTGAGTGAAGTGCCCCCCCCCCCCCCCCCCCCCCCCCCCCCCCCCCCACCTTCTTCAAATCCAACAAAAGTGGTATCAAACCATTGTGCTACGTTTGTGCTGCAAAATTTTTCGTTTGTGCTACTATCATTTTAAAGATATTAATAAAAATTTCTAGAGGTCATCAGAGGTCAACCAGCCCCCCCACATTAATGGAATCAGACAAAACTGGGGTCAATCAATACGTTTGTGCTGGTTTGTGCTGCTAAAATTGTCGTTTGTGCTGCTTCTGTCTTGAAGATATTAATGAAAATGTAAAGGTCAAAAGGTCAACCAGCCCCCCCACCTTCTTCAAATCCAACAAAAGTGGTATCAAACCATTGTGCAACATTTGTGCAGCACAAACCAGCACAAACGTAGCACAATGGTTTGATACCACTTTTGTTGGATTTGAAGAAGGTGCGGGGGCCAACTTCACTCAGGTGGGATGCTGCCCCTGTGACCCGGACCCGGATAAGCATAGGAAGACGACGAGTTGGTTTCCCCGATGTTCCCGGTAGAAATCGTTTCCCCTGCGTCGGGCGCGCGTGGCGTTGTGTCAATTTCTGTTGCCCCCGCGACACTCGCATCCACACAACCACAAGTTGAAATGCGCGTAACCCTTAATCTAACCTTTACATTAACCATAACCCTATAACAAACATAAAAATCATCCCACAGAGTTCTTTCATCAATTATTATTGTGCAAAACATACATTTTTGGTCACTGAATGGTTAAGGTAAGAGTTAGGCTGAGGGTTGTGTTTTTGTAAGAGAGGGAAGGACATAACACCAGTGACCAATGCAGGGGAAACAAAATCTACCATGGGTAACTAACCTGCAACTGGACTCGGTCAACGGCGATCAAAGAAACAACATCAATAAGCAGATTAAAAATCAGTTTAAGACTCATTTTAGAACCAAACTGTAAGTGTTCAGATTCAGTTCTATGTAGTATAGCTCCGCCCTTTAAGGCAATGATATTTGGATAATTCCTTACTTCCTTATCCAATCATTGAAGAGCCTGTGGCAGGTCCCATCCTGACCCTTATGAAAGCATCTTGTCGCTTGTTTAGCTAACATGTCTAGCGACACAGTCCACCTGTGTTCAGCTTGCTCCATGGGACGCATATCGCTCGAGGATTTTCATCCAAGATGATTCACCTGCTTGGGGGCTAAGCGCGCCTTGTGCTGACTCCGCAGGCTTCGTGTGCTTTTTGTGCCCTCATCTCCTCAGAAGAAAAAGCCCGACACGTGGAGTTCTTCACTGTGGACGCAGAGGTCTCCTCTGCTGTCGAGGCCATCTCTTCAGAACCTCCAATGGAGATTCTTGCCCCTGGGTTTGGGTCGGCCGACTCAGACTTGGCTGGGCCTTCAAACAACAAGCCCTTCAGCTTAGCTTCCTCTCTCTTCGAGGCCTTTGAGTCAGGCCAACAAGCCACTCTCGGATGAGACATGGGTCATGACTTCCAGTTCTCTTCATCCACTCCTCCTCCCACCATTCGGGCTTTGCTACAGGAACTGCCGTCCCTCGTAGCATTGGCCGCTGAAAACAAAGGTCTGACAGTTCCCACTCTGGCGCCATCGGAGTCGGCCGACTTCACGGGCTGGTTTGGTGCTCCCAGACCCGGTGTCCAAACCCCGGTTCCCGACTGCTATGGACTACTGGAACGGCTCCTACCTGGAACCATCCAAGCTGAAGGCACCTATCTCTACTTAAATGACAAATGACCCACACTTGTATAGCGCCTCTCAGAGTAAGGACTCCAAAGCGCTTTACACTACAGTGTATCATTCATCCATTCACACACACATTCACACACTGATGGTGATGAGCTACGATGTAGCCACAGCTGCCCTGGGGCGCGCTGACAGAGGCGACTACTTACACTCCCATCATAAAAGTAGAAGCTTAGGCTTTTGGGCCTCGTATTACCAGCGCCATAGACACAGAACTCTCCCCTACTGTGTGTGACTTGGTCCAACCAAACACCAGCCGACGCACCGCCAGCAGACCCAGGATGTGGGAAGACTGCCGTGCCCAGGCGACCTTCTGGACAGGGCTCCTTCCAGCCCCAACCCTCACAACCTGCTGCTGCTCCTCCTTCTCTGCAACTGCTGGTCCAATGGCAGCGGCGTCACAGAATGAGACCTCTAGCTCCTGTCTGGCAGAGCCAGTACCAAGAGCAGTTTCCTAAAAGACAAAGGCAATGACTCGGGGAGACGTGTGGTGATGTTCATGTTCGTGTTCCTTTTGATTCCACATTAAGTTGTGTTCAAGGCATTCTGGCATGATGTTTGAACAATGTTTCTCCTCATATGGTTCTGATGAGCACTCAGTTTTCAGACACGTTTCCCACACGTAATGCATTCCTTCCTACTGGACATTCAGTTAAAGTTTGCAGTGGGTTAGCTACAGCCTCTTGCTGGTTTGCCCCTGACACAAACAACACGCTAACGAGGAAAATGTTTCCTCCGCTTATTTGCCGCACGTCTCTGCACACAACACATCTCCTGTGCATGTGTGCCGTCCAGGCGGACGCGGCGACGGCGGTAGGGTTCAGCTATGGCTCATGCATGCGTGTCCTCTCTCTCAAAATGTGCAAGAATTGGTACGAATCTGCAACACGAGCGCATGGTTTCACAACATTGTATATCGTGGTCACAAGCTTCATTTTCGGTCTCGTCCTCCGCCATTTGAGGGGATTGTGGTAACCAAACTGACATCATCAGATAATTATCTTGCCCTTAGATCAGAGCTGAGGGAACTCCTGGAAAAGGAAGCAATTTCCAGGGTTCAGAAAGGCGAGGAAAACTCAGGATTCTGCTCCCTCTACTTCCTGGTTCTGAAGAAGACGTGAGGAGCCAGGCCCGTTCTCGATCTGTCCTTGTTCAACCGCTTCATGGCGGTAAAACACTTCCATAAACTGACAATAAAACAGGTTCTAAGTTATGTGCACCCGGGTTAGGGTCCTCACACTTTGCACTTTCTCCAAATGCCTGGAGATGGCGCTTCAACCCTTACGCACTGCGGGCATGAGGATCCTCTTTTACTCTTTTATGATCTGCTGCTGCTGACATGCTCCGAGCCCGAAGTGGAATCACAGACGCAGGCGTTAGCAGACCACCTGCTCAGGCTGGGGATTTCCAAAAATTGGGAAAAAAGCTCCGTGATCGCTTCTTGGGTGATCACGTCATGGGAGTGGAACTGAACTCTGGGATCAGGAAAGCTTGCCTGTCTCAACTCTGGGTCTGCTTCACATGAGATGCATCCACCTTCCCCCACTCTTTCCACAAGCACGTCCTTGTGCTCCCGCGCAGGGTGCCACAAACTTCACATCCATGGACCTACTTGACAGTACTACATGGATCCTGCCAACAACGCCAAATGTGGCAAGGTGGAGAAACGAGGGCCCGGGCGGGATTCGATCCCCTGACTCCCGGGTGAGAGTCATGTGTTCTTACCAGTCAGCCAAAGGGACATCCCCATGGCCAAGTAGCCAGGGCGCATGATCAATCGGGACATTGTGACAGGACACTCACACTGTCACACATTGATAGTTCAGACGCCTCAAGGTTCACCCGATCCACCACAAACGCCGCATGATGATTGTCTCTAAGAAGACCCTAAGAAGAGCTGTTTCAGTTGAATGAGCTCTATGAAAACCTGACTGGAAACCATCATAGATGTTATGTTCATCAAGATCAGCTGTGAGTTGTTTGGCCACAACCTTTTCCAAGATCTTGGAGATGAACGGAACTTTAGAGATGGGTCAAGACTGGGTTTTTTTAAAGATTTGGTTTGGTTACAGCATTCTTAAAGCGCTCAGGGACCTGACCAGAAACCAAAGAAACATTAATTATAGAGAACACACTTGAACTGACGGATTTTTGCCGCAACACAGTTGTAAACAATAACTTCTAAATCTATTTTGCCTGGTTATTTTATTTTATTTTATTTTATTTTTTATTTTATTTTATTTTATTTTGCGTCTTGGTGTGGATAACATGTATTTCCAGCTTTGGTTTTCAAGGTGTAGTACCACCATTCGCCACCTAGCCGCAGTAATAAGCTGAGGCGGAGTTAAACTCTCCAAAACCCACGAAGAAGAGCGAGCGTCGCCATGGCGGAAACAAAGCAGCAGGCAGGTAAAAAAATCCACCGGGATGTTGTTTCTTCGTTAAGTTCAGAGTCAAAGTGGTAAAAATGTCTTTAATCGTAGCGTTTAAGCCGCTTTTCTCCATGAGAACGAGTTTTACGGCGGTTAAACTAACCCGGAAGATACACGCTGACTTAGAGACAGAATAAGCTAACATTATCTTCACATTTTAATCACGTGATTAAAATGCTGTCTCATTTTAAATGTATTTGTAATATTTTTTATTGCTCGTGATGTTTTTTTAGCGTTTAATACATCCAGTTGGTTGTTTGGCAATCTTCGGTGTTTTACTGCAGGAATGTACCTCGGAAAGTATTCTTAACGTTGAATTACAGTGTTTTTCAATAATGTTCCAAATAGTTTATTTAATTTTTTCTCTATTCAATATTTCTAGGAACAACTTTCATAAATAACTATTGGGGGGGGGGGGGGGGGGGGGGGGGGATATGCCCGTTCTTATTTCTATTTAAATATGCTGATTTTAGCAACAACAAACTCATTTCCGTATTTAATCCAACAGAATTAAATAAATTAATTAGAGCTGAGACCTGAATGACAGCAGGACTTCCTCTGTGTCCAGTGAAATAAGAATAGTATATAAAATCACTGTCAGCCAGAGTTTTTGGTCCAAAGCTTTATGATTTAACTGAGTGAATGTTTTTAGCCTCCTCCCCTGAAGATGAAGCTCCTGAAGTTTCCGCCCAGGCCAGCTTCATGATACCTAAGAAGGAAATCAGCATGGTGCCCGACATGGGGAAGTGGAAGAGATCTCAGGTAGGTGTCTACCTGCAGCTCTGACACATGTAGCTCACATCCGTTTGGTTCTTTTCCTCTGACTTGTGTTTAAAGGAGAAAACCCCATCAGTTTAGTTTTATAGAAACCAGATGTTCAGATTGAGCTGATGGTGGAGGACATGAACCTGACATGGCGTCTCTGGTGTGTGTCTAAGGTTCTGCTTGTGCCCCACAGGCCTACGCCGACTACATAAGCTTCATCGTCACGCTGAATGAAGGAGTGAAGGGAAAGAAGATGTCGTGTGAATATGAAGTCTCCGAGGTTTGGTTTTTTTTAATGTCTGAAATGGTTTTTATTTTGACTCGGACACCTTTAGAGATGTTCCTCCTAGAGACGGAGTTCCTTTGGACTGAGAACACGGTTCTCCAGTTTTTGTCTCAGCGGACAAACAAAGTCCCTTAAGTAGGGTTGTCACGGTGTGAAAATGTAACCCCTCGGTTATTGTGACCAAAATTATCACGGTTTTCGGTATTAACGCGGTATTTTTTTAAACGTGTTACATTTTCAGACAACTAAATAAACCCTGTATATCAGGAAAATATTGTCCTCGGTTTGTGTCCTTCCAGTGAGCTTTGCAGATTTGGGAAAATGTCATCAGGCAGTAATCATTGTTAAATTCATAATTATTCTCGGAGAGAGACCAACTCTTATCTGCCCCTGGGAGCCCCGTAATGCATAGCGTCATTTCAACATGGCGGTGTCCGCGACACGGTTTATATGCAGGTAGCGGCGCTGCGGCTGCTTTATATAGCGACTCGTTGCATTCTCCCTCAACCCAAATCCTCGGATCACGCATTTTAGCTAAAGCGCTAACGTTAGCTTGCCTTGCGTTGACTGTAGAGTTGTGGGTGATGGTCACGCAGATGTGTCATGAGATTTGAAGCGTTGCTGCCTTTCACAGACACTTTTTCTGCACCTGCTGCAAACAGGATAGCCGTCTTCTATCAACTGTCCCTCGGCATTCTTCAGATATCCAAAAGATGCCCGTACTTCCCACTTTGTCTTCTTTGAGGGATAATAAATGTCCTGAGCGCTGCCGTCTCCTCCTTTGACCATTATTTCAGCTTTAGCTTCAAGAAAGTTTTGGTTGTAAACAACAAAGTGCGCATGTGCCGCCGGCAACTTCAGCAGATGATACGGTGGCTGGTAAGGGTCACCGCGCCTACACCGCAGCCACGCTAATCCACCGAGATAATATATGTTTTAAAAAAACAAGATGGTTATTATTATTGTCAACTTTTTTACCAGGGTTTACCGCTACACTGGTTACCGTGACAACCCTACCCTTAAGGAGGAGGTTTTCCCTCTGCAGCGTTCCGGTTCCTCCTACTCGTGGAGGTGTTCTGACGCTTCGAACAGCAGGTGATGAAGCCGCTTCATGTGGTTGCTTGTTGCAGACGGTGGACAGGCTGCTGGAGCTTTTGGGGACTTTGGACCGTTGGATAAACGAGACTCCTCCTGTTGACCAGCCGTCGCGTTTCGGTAACAAAGCCTACAGAACCTGGTTTGCCAAACTGGAGCAGGTTGGTTCAGACTTCCTCCCACACCGCCGAACCCCCACGCCGTTGATGCTGAGTGTGTCGTTCCTGTGTGTTCCCAGGAAGCCGAGACCTTGGTGTCCGCCGTACTTCCTGCCGACAGATCCGCTGCTGCTCCAGAGATTGCCGTCTACCTGAAAGAGTCGGTCGGGAACCCCACCAGGATAGACTATGGAACGGGTAACAAAGTGGGATTCTGATCCTGCTTCCCTTCCCGGCAGCCAGACTTCCTGTTAAACTGGTTCTGAAGGGACGGTCCTCCAGACCCTCTGGAGGTCTGATGGAGTTTGTGTTCTCAGGTCATGAAGCAGCTTTTGCGGCGTTCCTCTGCTGCCTGTGTAAAGTTGGAGCTCTCAGAGCAGAGGATCAACTCGCCATCGTCTTTAAGGTTTTTGACAGGTGAGCTCTTACTGGTGATGGCACACGGTTACTGGGAACTACTGGTGTAAAAATGGTGCTCCACTTCAGTTTCACCTCTAGAGGCGGAGCTCTAGTGTCGTGTTCCTGAGTGATGGGGCTGATGGAGGCGAGAAGGACCAGCCGAGCAGGACTTTGTCTCTAGTGAGGAGCTGAGCTGGAAGCTCTGGATTTACTGGGCCATCTAAACCCTCACCTGAGGTCATGAGATCTGGATCAGCACCTGAAGATCCAGGACCCAAGCTGCCTCCTCACTGAAAGGAGGCTGTTCTGATTAGGACACCTCCTTATTTAGAGTTAGGTTTTGATGCTTCTCTGGTCCGACCGAGCTATAACATCTGGAACATCTGTGTGTTCTTCAGGTACCTCCAGGTGATGAGGAAGCTGCAGAAAACCTACAGGATGGAGCCGGCTGGGAGCCAAGGAGTCTGGGGCCTGGATGACTTCCAGTTCCTGCCCTTCATCTGGGGCAGCTCCCAGTTCATAGGTGAGGCTCCGCCCACAGAGTTAGGCGATGCACGGACCACTAACACTTTAGTTGTGCTTTTACTAAAATCCTGAACACATCCAAAATGGTGTTCCTGGGACTGCTGCCAGGGCAGAAGGCAGTCCGCCGGGTCCTTTAGGAAAGCAGCTCTTTGTTGTGGGAGGAGCTGCGGTGTAGGGACCGGATGTGAGCACTAGGGGGCAGCAGGCAGACATCCAGCCCTGTCTGATCCCAGCACCGGAGCAGCTGCTCCCCAGAAAACCAACTCCCCTGCAGATTTATCTGTTGGTCAATAACCTGAATTATTTTCACCCTGAACATAAACTACAGACATGTTTTATTATTTCTAACGATCAATAAATCAGCCGGTAATTAAAACCAAATAATAGAATTTTCAGCCGATCTTAAAACGACTCAAATCCCACTTCAGATCAACAAAAGCAGCTTTTTATTTATTTACCTAAAACTAAACGGTTGTTAAGGGAACGCTTTTTGTAAATCAGTTAACGAAGACAAAAGTCAAAAATAGACAACAGTTTTTCAGATTTACCTCAGACCTTCAACGCTGCGAAGTCTGGAGCCTCTGCTGCTGATTGGTTCACAGATTAAATTCCTAAACCAGCTTTAATTTAACACAGAAGTTTAAGGCCGGGGACACACTGGCCGCGGAAGCGCCGCGAAGCGCCGCGAAAATGGGACCGCCTTCATTCGGCGCCCTTGTTAAGCTATTCTATAGACCACATGGGCCGCCGAAGCGCCGCGAATCGCCTCGCGCCGGCGCGCGCCGGCGCTCCAGCCCGCGCCGTGCAGCGATCATTTCGGCGTTGGCTCTATTTTTTTCGCGAGCCGCGGGTGAATCGCGTCAATTCTGGCAGGAAGTCAAACGTAGGCATAAGAGGCAGGCCGGTAAAGTTAACAAAATAAAGCATTTCAAAATAAAATTCCGCAATAGTCAAATGTGTTCGTAAACAGACACTGCAGAAAAACCACACGAACACGCACACACACACACACACACACACACATCGAACTTGTGTGCGTGTGTGACCACGTGAAGGGGGGAGTGGTTTTGGGTGTCTTTTCACCGGAGCAAACAGGACAGAGAGGCAGAAAGTCTGAGGCAAGCAGTTAGGATGGATGACTTTAAATTAATTATGGAAGTTGAGAAACACAAGGAGCTGTACGACCCCCGAAAAACATGATTGTTTACGTACCCATGTCGGAAGAAACTGCTAGGATACAGCTGCAGAATTGGAGCGGGTTCCAAGAGATTCAACTGGCAGAAACAACTCATACCATAGGTTCACACACACGCGCGCGCGCGCGCGCGCACGCGCACAAACACTCAAACGTAGGAAAAGAGCTGAGAAAAGGCAGAGAGGAAATGGAGGACACCAAGTGTTTAAAAGAAAAACTACAGCTGAGCCGAGGCGCGCCTCGACTGGGGCGCGTCTGATCTGAACTGAGGAGCGGCGAGCAGCGGCCGAATTTCGTGAGCGATTCGCTTCTCGGCGCTTCGCGGCGCTTCCGCGGCCGGTGTGTCCCCGGCGTAAGGCTGCGCTGGGATATTTCGGATTTGATCGTCAACAGCGACTCCTGGTGGCAACCAGGCCGACTCACGCTGGTTTCTCCTCAGGTCATCCGACTCTGGAACCGCGGCATTTCCTCGACGAGAAGGTGGTGAACGAGAACCACCAAGACTTCATGTTCCTGGAGTGCATCAAGTTCATAAACGAGGTCAGAAACCCGAGTGTGTGTGTGAGTGTGTGTGTGTGTGTTTTGACTAGTCTTGTCTGCCAGTGGTGGTCGGGGGGACCGAAGGTGCCAGCGCTCGGCAGCCTCGCCTCCATCAGCGTGTCCCAGGGCAGCTGTGGCTACCTCGTAGCTCATCCCCACCAACATGTGAATAACTAATTGTGTTGTAAAGTGACTTGGGGGGGTTGTAGAACCATAAGAAGGTACTAAACAAATACAGGCCACCTAACATTTTTACCATGTTATAAATACACACACACCCAGTGGGATGTGAAAGTTTGGGCATCCTGGTTAATCTTCATGATTTTCCTGTTTAAAGTTTCTGTTGTTAAGATAAAAATTGTCAGTTAAGTGAATGAAATATGAGACACACAAGGTGATACTTGAGAGGTGAAACAAAGGTCGTAGGGTTGTTATAATTCTAAACAAAATTATGCAGGTGACATAACTGACATAACATAATTGCACAAAATTAATTCAAACTCAAAATAAAACGTTTCACTCAACCCCAATCGTGTACATTAAGTAATAATAAATTATAAATAAATAAAAATACGTTTTAAATCTACAGGCTGGTAACTGCAAATCCTGCTGAGAAGGGCTGTAAAATTAAATATGGGGCCTGCAGAAAACAAAAGGGACACACAACAATACAACAGGAGCAAGCTGTCACTGCGTCAACCTGATGAGGAAATATTAAATCAACATTGTTTAACTGAACAATCACAAGATAATAAATCACAGTGCATTTAGTGCCAACCACAGCCTTAAGACGTGTTGAACGTGCCCAGTCCATCCTTATGTGAGCACCTGTGTGTGTACATGCGCTTGTTCATGTACAGGTGCTGGCCAGTAAATTAGAATATCATCAAAAGGTTGAAAATATTTCAGTAATTCCATTCAAAACGTGAAACTTGTACATTATATTCATGCAATGCACACAGACCAATGTATTTCCGATGTTTATTACGTTTAATTTTGATATTTATAGGTGACAACCAATGAAAACATCAAATCTGGTATCTCAGACAATTAGAATATTCTAAAGGCCAATGAAAAAATGTTTGTTTCTCTAATGTTGGCCAACTGAAAAGAATGAACATGAAAAGAATGTGCATGTATAGCACTCAATACTTAGTCGGGGCTCCTTTTGCCTCAATAACTGCAGTAATGCGGCGTGGCATGGACTCGATCAGTCTGTGGCACTGCTCAGGTGTTATGAGAGCCCAGGTTGCTCTGATAGTCGTCTTCAGCTCCTCTGCATTGTTGGGTCTAGCGTATTGCATCCTCCGCTTCACAATACCCCATGGATTTTCTATGGGGTTAAGGTCAGGCGAGTTTGCTGGCCAATCAAGGACAGGGATACCATGGTCCTTGAACCAGGTGCTGGTGGTTTTGGCACTGTGTGCAGGTGCCAAGTCCTGTTGAAAGGTGAAGTCTGCATCCCCATAAAGTTGGTCAGCAGCAGGAAGCATGAAGTGCTCTAAAACTTCCTGGTAGACGGCTGCATTGACCCTGGACCTCAGGAAACAGAGTGGGCCAACACCGGCAGATGACATGGCACCCCACACCATCACTGACGGTGGAAACTTTACACTGGACCTCATGCAACGTGGATTCTGTGCTTCTCCGCTCTTCCTCCAGACTCTGGGTCCTTGATTTCCAAAGGAAATGCAGAACTTGCTTTCATCAGAAAACATAACTTTGGACCACTCAGCATCAGTCCAGTCCTTTTTGTCCTTGGCCCAGGCGAGACGCTTCTTGCGCTGTTTCATGTTCAAGAGTGGCTTGACACACGGAATGCGACACCTGAATCCCATGTCTTTCATGAGTCTCCTCGTGGTGGTTCTTGAAGCGCTGACTCCAGCTGCAGTCCACTCTTTGTGGATCTCCCCCACATTTTTGAATGGGTTTGTCGTCACAATTCTCTGCAGGGTGCGGTTATCCCTAGAGCTTGTACACTTTTTTCTACCACATTTTTTCCGTCCCTTCGCCTGTCTGTTAATGTGCTTGGACACAGAGCTCTGCGAACAGCCAGCTTCTTTAGCAATCACCTTTTGTGTCTTGCCCTCCTTGTGCAAGGTGTCAATGATTGTCTTTTGGACAGCTGTTAAGTCAGAAGTCTTCCCCATGATTGTGGTGCCTTCAGAACAAGACTGAGGGACCTTTTAAAGGCCTTTGCAGGTGTTTTGAGTAAATCAGCTGATTAGAGTGGCAGCAGGTGTCTTCTATATTCAGCCTTTTCAGAATATTCTAATTTTTTGAGATACCAAATTTGGAGTTTTCATTAGTTGTCACCTATAAATATCAAAATTAAACGTAATAAACATCGGAAATACATTGGTCTGTGTGCATTGCATGAATATAATGTACAAGTTTCACGTTTTGAATGGAATTACTGAAATATTTTCAACCTTTTGATGATATTCTAATTTACTGGCCAGCACCTGTAAGGTTCCTCTATAACAGCGTCCAATAGAGAGTGTAAGGGGCCACAGATCTGCCCCCCAAAGATGCGTAGGAGACGGAGGGAGCTCCAAGTCTCAGAGATCCAGGAGCTGCCCCAGAGCACAGGAACCCTAAGGAGACTGCAACCAGAAAAGCCCCCACCCCCCTCGAGAGGCGCAGAGGATCGCCCCGGGGGGCCACAACCAGTAGCCGGCTGACCGGCTCCGGTCCGGGTTTCATCTCCTCTGCCCCGCCATCACCTGCTGGAGATTGTGGCGAGCTGCTGCGGGCCGGGCGGCTCCGACCCAGGAATGAGCTCCCCTGTCCCGCTGGGAGGGTTTCAAACACCGCCATCACCTGCTGCAGCCTGTGGCGGGGTGCTGCGTGCCAGCTCCGGCCCAGGAATGAGCTCTCCCCGCCCGCTGGGAGGGTTTCAAACACTGCCATCCTCTGCTGGAGACCGTGGTGCGCTGCTGCGCCCTGGTTGTTTATTCTGTTATTGTTACCAGTACTTGTCTTGCAACGTGAAACGCTTGGTCTCAGATTTTGTAAGAAAAATAATAAAATTTCCCCCCAAAATGCGACTCATATATGTTTTTTTCTTCTTCGTTATACATTTTATGGCTGGTGCGACTTATACTCCGGAAACTACGGTAGTAGCACAAGAAGTCCCAGGAGAGGGGAGGAGCCAAAGGCCCCACCTGACATATACAGTCATACACAGACACAGTCACACACTCCCTCCCTCATGCTCTCACATACACATACAACCTAAGACTCACAAAAATGCACACCGGACACCCACTCATGCTCCCCATACACACCCTATTCACTGGTCCCGGTACTGCTGCACATGGGTACAAACATTACCGGTTCCCAGAGTTCGACCCTTTCTGCTGAAGTGATAATGAGCGAAGTGACAACAGAGGTGTGCTAAGACCCCTAGTCTTCCTCCGCCTGCTCCAATACTGTGTTAGTGTGTGTTGATGAAGCGGGCAGTGCATGCATCGTCTGGCCTATGCCAGCTGATGCCACCACACCACCCCACTTGCACCCACAGCCCTCTGTGTCTAAGTGCAGTTTAAAATTGGAAGTGGGCACCGGCACTCGGGAGGAGGCTGAAAGATCCCCTTGCCAAATGCCGTTGAGTGTGCTCACTCCCAAGGCCCTAAGTGTGTGTTTGCGTGAAATGTCGTCAGTGGACGTGTTTAAGGGTTAGGGTTAGCGTCAGTTTGGCGCCTAGCTGAAAGCGGCTAAGCAGCTGCGTAGCGCGGCTATCCGCTGGTCCGCAAGAAGCGCTCTGCTTGATCGAGAGCGATTTTCTAGTCCGACGCATGCGAACTCTGACTCGGAACCAGGGAGCTCTTTTAGTAATTCACTGAGGAATCCAGGGCTTGATTTTGAGGCAGAACCTGGGAGATGTGGGCCTCCACTTGCACACAGGAACTCGCTAGTGTCCAGTCGTCTAGGCGACAATGAGGATTCCCCTCTCAGAGGTTTTAGAGTGGCTTCCACACTAATGCGTGCGATCGACCCAAGTGGGCACCAGAAATGAATTTTCGCTGCTAGCTGGGTGCTTGACTCTGTCGTCGTAGTGGAGCCGTCGCCCTCTAGCGGAGCTGGATAGCGTGGTTCTGTGTTCACGACAGACGCTTTGGTCTTTTAGTTGAGAACTGCTTTTCTCCAGCAGAGCAGGAGAAAGCAGCCTCTGCTGCTCCACCTGAAGCTTTTTGTAGACATTTGAGTTAAAGATTTAGCTGTTGTTCGCCAGCAGAGCGAGCTGACACAGCTTTATCTGTCCAGTTTGAGATGTTGTGCGTAGACACGTCAGACTGACAATAATTCGACTGCAAATTGCTGTCGGCCACAAGTGCCTCTGCAGCACCACAGTAGAGGCCATGCCTCTACGGAGAAGAACCGGTGCCGCTGCAGTCAGGTAACTGCTTCCAGGCTGCTCTGCCCAACACTGCTGAAGGAGTATGGCAAGCCACTGTAGCATTTAATTCACAAACGCGTCGATCTGTAAACATAATTAAACTGGATTATTGTCAACCGGTACACAATAGATATGTCATCATTACTTTTTAAGCAGTAGAAATGAAACGTTATTAGCAGAATTTCATGTAGATTCCTACAGAACATGTTAATGAAATACATACATTTTACTGATCATAGTTAAATTCTAGATATATTTAGGTGATATCATGTTGTTTTGGACATTATTGAACTGTTTTCTAACCATGTTCTGTTGTTAAAGTAAAGGAAGGAGAAAAAATGTTTCCCTAGAAGTTTTTACATTTTCCTGTTTAATCTGATTAATCGAGTCGAGACCCGATCCGACCCGGTCACTCTGAGTGTTTCATGCAGGCTGAACATGAAAATAGTCTCCTACACCTATCTCCTGCAGTAGCTTCTGATAGAAAACAGACGGTGAAACTCTAGGATTAGAAAATCCTGACAGATCTACGTCACACGGTCACTAACATTCATGGAGTCACCCATGTGGACTCACGATGGGGAAGTCTGTTGTTGGTTTAGCGTCCAGGAAACAGCAGAGAACGTCTCTGCTAATAGATGCTAACTGTTAGCATTAGTAACTTCACTACACAGCAGAACTCCTCCAGACTTGTGTTATTTATGGAGATAAAACATCAACATTGCTGAGCAAACAGTCAGTGGTAGAGTCGTGTTGCTCAATCAGAGGAGAGATGTCAAAATACCAGGAAATAAGACTCCATAGCCCGTCATCTGAAGCTCAGAGCCGTTTCCCTATATGCATAGTTGTCTGAACTAGTGTACTCATGTCCTCATAAAACGTCATCAACATAGACGTAAGTCATCCATCATAGACCTAAAACGTCATCAACTTAGACGTAAAATGTCATCAGTATAGACGTAAGTCATCCATCATAGACCTAAAACGTCATCAACTTAGACGTAAAACGTCATCAGTATAGACGTAAGTCATCCATCATAGACGTAAAACGTCATCAACATAGACATAAATCGTCATCAACATAGAAGTGAAACGCCATCACCATAGACGTGAAACGTCATCAACATAGACGTAAAATGGCATCAACATAGACGTAAGTCGTCCAACATAGACGTAAATCGCCATCAACATAGACATAAATCGCCATCACCATAGACGTGAAACGTCATCACCATAGACGTCATCACTATAGACGTAAGATGGCATCAACATAGACGTAAGTCGTCCAACATAGACGTAAAACGTCATCAACATAGACATAAATCGTCATCACCATAGACGTGAAACGTCATCACCATAGACGTGAAACGTCATCACCATAGACGTCATCACTATAGACGTAAAATGGCATCAACATAGACGTAAGTCGTTATCAACGTAAACGTAAAACGTCATCAACATAGACATAAATCGCCATCAACATAGATGTGAAACGTCATCACCATAGACGTGAAACGTCATCAACATAGACGTAAGATGGCATCAACATAGACGTAAGTCGTCCAACATAGACGTAAAACGTCATCAACATAGACTTAAATTGCCATCAACATAGACGTGAAACGTCATCAACAAAGACGTAAAATGGCATCAGTATAGACGTAAATGGCATCAACATAGACGCAAGTCCTCCAACATAGACGCAAGTCCTCCAACATAGACGCAAGTCCTCCAACATAGACGCAAGTCCTCCAACATAGACGCAAGTCCTCCAACATAGACGCAAGTCCTCCAACATAGACGCAAGTCCTCCAACATAGACGCAAGTCCTCCAACATAGACGTAAGTCCTCCAACATAGACGTAAGTCCTCCAACATAGACGTAAGTCGTCATCAACATAGACGTAAGTCGTCCAACATAGACGTAAAACGTCATCAACATAGACTTAAATTGCCATCAACATAGACGTGAAACGTCATCAACAAAGACGTGAAACGTCATCAACAACGACGTAAAATGGCATCAACAAAGACATAAGTTGCCCAACATAGACGTAAAACGTCATCAACATAGACTTAAATCGCCATCAACATAGATGTGAAACGTCATCACAATAGACGTGAGATGGCATCAACATAAACGTAAGTCGTCCAACATAGATGTAAAACGTCATCAACATAGACTTAAATCGCCATCAACATAGACGTGAAACGTCATCAACAAAGACGTAAAATGGCATCAACATAGACGTAAGTCATCATCAACATAGACGTAAGTCGTCATCAACATAGACGTAAGTCGTCATCAACATAGACGTAAGTCGTCATCAACATAGACGTAAGTCGTCATCAACATAGACGTAAGTCGTCATCAACATAGATGTAAAACGTCCAACATAGATGTAAGTCGTCCAACGTAGATGTAAGTTGTCCAACGTAGACGTAAAACGTCATCAACATAGACGTAAAACGTCATCAACATAGATCTAAATTGTCATCAACATAGACCTAAAACATCATCAACATAGACGTAAAACATCACCTACATAGATGTAAGTCGTCATCAACCTAGACATAAGTCGTCATCAGCGTAGACGTCAAATGTCATCATCATAGACGCAAGTTGTCATCAACCTAGACGTAAGTCGTCATCAACAGACGTAAAACTTCATCATGAACACAGCTGATTAGTTTCATTTAGTGATTAACCGCTCCTGTAGAAACCAGAGAAGGCTGGGGAGACATTTCAGTTGTTAGATTAAGGTGTTAAAAAGACGAACGCACAGCGAGTAGAGTTTTGCTTTCGGTTTACCACAGAGAATTTACAAAGAGACACTACGGGGCTGGTATGTTATCAATTGTTATCAAAAAAGGACCACATATCATGCAAATAATATGTATTCATTGTTATTTTGTTGATTAAAAGACAAACTACCGGTAGACTTTTATTTTGATGTCAGGTCCCTTTTTTTACCCGTAGAAACAAGCAGCACTTGTTGCCATGACGCAGCAGAGTACGGTTCTGTTCCAAATGCATCCTCGGTAGAACTGACGTTCTGCTGTACTAGCCAAGAACATACTTGTCAACACTAACCTACTTAGGTATTGAGAAACGGCCCTAGACTAAACTTGATATTTTGTGATATATCAGGCGGTTTACCTGTCGGTAACCATGGTAACGAGACTTCTCATTGGGCTGGTTTAAAGCACATGGGTTGTTTTGTCTCACGTCTGCTATGTTTGTGCAGAGTGTTTGCTCTGTGTTTATGGTTGTGAGGATGAATCTCATCATAAACATGTTCTCCTGTCTGCCCCCCCCCCCCCAAAAAAAAAACCACACACACACGCTCTTATTCCTGTAGTCGGACACAGGGCTTGTGTGCGAGCGCGAGCCCTGAACATGACTCACTTCCTTCCCCACATGCTGCTGTGAATCACTCCTTCCTCCAGGGAATACGGGACGTCTCCTCCCCCCTCCCTCCTCTAGGCCCTTCCCCCACCTCTTCTCATGCGAGGTCCCAGAAAGTGTCTGCTGCAGCGCTCCAGTGCAGCTCCGTGGAAAAAAGAGGTTATTTTTTTCTAAAGATTGATGCCCCAGGGCTTACCCCCTCCCCCTCCCCCTGTTTTTTCTTTTGGGAGGGGGGGGCTCCAATCACCACTTCTCAGTCAGACATTCATAGCTTCAGACTTCTCTTTCAGTGTCACGTCTGTTAACAATATTAAAAGTTGTATTTCTACTGATGGTTTCTACAAATTTAATTCAGTTAAATTAGTTAAACCCCAGATCCGGTCCAGTTAAAACCCCTGATCCGGCCCGGTTTAAACCCCTGATCCGGTCCAGTTTAAACCCCTGATCCGGTCCAGTTTAAACCCCTGACCTGGTCCAGTTAAAACCCCAGATCCGGTCCAGTTAAAACCCCAGATCCGGTCCAGTTAAAACCCCTGATCTGGTCCAGTTTAAAGCCCTGATTCGGTCCAGTTTAAACCCCTGATCCGGTCCATTTTAGACCCCTGATCCAGTCCAGTTTAGACCCCTGATCCAGTCCAGTTTAGACCCCTGATCCGGTCCAGTTTAAACCCCTGATCCGGTCCAGTTAAAACCCCTGATCCGGTCCAGTTTAAAGCCCTTATCCGGTCCAGTTTAAACCCCTGGTCCGGTCCATTTTAGACCCCTGATCCGGTCCAGTTTAAACCCCTGATCCGGTCCAGTTAGGACCCCTGATCCGGTCCATTTTAGACCCCTAATCCGGTCCCTTTAAAACCCCTGATCTGGTCCAGTTAAGACCCCCGGATCCGGTCCAGTTGAAACCCCTGATCCGGTCCAGTTGAAACCCCTGATCTGGTCCAGTTAAGACCCCGGATCCGGTCCAGTTAAGATCCCCGGATGCGGTCCAGTTTAAACCCCTGATCCGGTCCAGTTAAAACCCTTGATCCGGTCCAGTTAAGACCCCGGATCCGGTCCAGTTAAGACCCCTGATCCGGTCCAGTTAAAACCCCTGATCCGGTCCAGTTTTAACCCCTGATCCGGTCCAGTCTATTATTATTATTATGATGATTAATATGAATGCCTGGGAGTTTGTCCACATGTGTTTTGTGGATTTGGAGAAGGCATTCGACCACGTCCCTCAAGGGGGCCCTGTGGGGGGTACTCCAGGAGTATGGGGTACCAGGCCCTCTGGTACGGGCTGTTAGGTCCCTGTATGACCGGTGTCAGAGCTTGGTCCGCATTGCTGGCAGTAAGTCGGGCTCGTTCCCAGTGAGAGTTGGACTCCACCAAGGCTGCCCGTTGTCACCGATTCTGTTCATAATCTTTATGGACAGGATTTCTAGGTGCAGCCAAGGTATGGAGGGCATCCGTTTTGGTGGCCTGAGGATCAGGTCCCTGCTTTTTGCAGATGATGTGGTCCTGTTGGCTTTATCAGAACGTGATCTCCAGCTCTCGCTGGAGCGGTTCACAGCCGAGTGTGAAGCAGCTGGGATGAGAATCAGCTCCTCTAAATCTGAGACCATGGTCTTGAGTCGGAAAAGGGTAGAATGCCTTCTCCGGGTCAGGGATGAGGTCCTGCCCCAAGTGGAGGAGTTTAAGTATCTCGGGGTCTTGTTCACGAGTGAGGGAAAACTGGAGCGTGAGATCGATAGGCGGATTGGTGCTGCATCTGCAGTGATGCGGGCGTTGTACCGGTCTGTCGTGGTGAAGAGAGAGCTGAGTCAGAAGGCCAGGAGAAGACCTAAAGGAAGACCAGGGCACGGTGGAGAGACTATGTCTTTCGGCTGGTCAGGGAACGCCTGGAGGAGCTGGCCCAAGTGGCTGGGGAGAAGGAGGCCTGGGGCTCCCTGCTTAGGCTGCTGCTCCCGCGACCCGACCCCAGATTAGCAGCCGAAAATGGATGGATATGAAGATTTTATTTATTATAATAATAATAATGTTGTTGTTTTAGTTGCATAATAAACTGTTTTGTTGTAGAATTTATTTAAATGTGTTCAAATTTATAAATGTTTTATTTGTAGGTTTGAATAAAATCTTATTTTGAAGGTCTGGATTATTTGAGACTGATTTCTGACTCTTGTCTCTGGTTCTGCAGATGAAGACGGGTCCGTTTGCCGAACACTCCAACCAGCTGTGGAACATCAGCGCCGTTCCTTCCTGGTCCAAAGTCAACCAAGGCCTGATCCGAATGTACAAGGCGGAGGTACGCACCCCCACAGAGCCGATTAGGTGGTCCAGTTTATGAAAAGCGTATCGATTTCATTTCAGTGGGGTGGATGTACTGAACAAACCACGAGGGTCCAACTGGACCGAGGAGGTCTACTGGTTCCAGAAACGCCCACAGAATTCCTGATTACTGCTCCGACTTCTCACAAATGTTCTGGTAGTCGAGGAGCGTTGTTTTAGTTGTTGGTGTTGGTTCTGTAAGAGCCTTGGGGCGGGGCCTAAGAGGCACCAGCTGAAGGCTGATTGGCTCCTGAAGTTCCCCCGGTGGTCACAGGGTCACAGACGGGTTCTGAGCTCAGTCCTGGTGCTGTGTTTAGAATAAAGCACAGCCTAAACCAGGAGCTGGTACGGAAGCCAGCGAGAGACAAAAAGACCAAACCATCCCTAAAGGGAAAAGTCCTCAAACCATCAGACTATTTTTAATCTGGAATCTAAAACACAGCTTTTACCTGTGGAGGTGACCGGAAAACCCGGAATCTGGTCAGCGGGAAACCCGGAATCTGGTCAGCTGGAGGAACCTTTAGTCTTCATTCAGATTTATTACATCGTTTCACTGATACCGGATGTAAACCTCAGATTTCCTTTATATAGAACATTAGATGTTTTTTAAGTAGGTGACATCACTTCCTGTCCTGATTCTATTATTTATTGTTGTTTAGCCTGATTTACTCTGAAACCCGACACTCGGGGCTGTTTTCATATCACTTTTAGAACATCTGATCTTATATTTGTGACGTTCTTCTGAAGTCACACTGAAGGAACTACGTTTTGTCATCGTATTTGTTTTTGTTATCTAAATAAAGTTTTATCTGAGCCTTTGTGACGAGCAGCAGTGAGAGGAGCTGCTGAAGCAGGCGGCGAGGAAAACACCCAGACGGGCCGGCTCTGTGGGACGCTGGGAGGCAGGAAAGGGTTAAGTCAGGAATGGTGTGTGTGTGTGTGGGCGAGTGGGGGTGGGATCAGGATGAGGGGGGGGGGGGGGTGTCTAAGCCCGGTCTCCCCGCCTGTTTGCCCACATCCTGTGTTTTCCAGAGCAGCCTGCGAGTCTTCCCAAAGAGCTGAGGGGCCAAGCTGTCTGCCTTTCCCTCCCCCCTCATTCCCTTCATTAAATCCTCCCCCCTCCTTCCCTCTCTCCCTCACTGCGGCCCAACCTCTCTCCCAGCCTGAAGCAGCCATCGGCACACTCACATTCCTCTCTCCCTTTCTCCGGCCCCACACAAGAGCCCGGATCCGTGGCTCCCGGCCTGACTGGATCCTTTCTTCTCCTCCAGACGTCCAGCAGAACATAAAATCTGCTCCGACGCAAAAGATGTGAAGGAAAAAATAAAATGCCAACGACACTAAAGACTCATTAGGTTTCATTTTTATTTTCTTAATGTTGAAACTCAAACATAAGGAATCAAACCAGGTTGTTTCAGGTTCAGGTCAGCCGGCAGGAACCAATCAGAACTCAGAACAACATTCAAACGTAGCCCAAAGACCACGTCCTACCAATGAGAGGATAAAGGTCTCTGAAACATTGGAAAAACACATCTGAATCATCAGGATTCTCTGCTGGATAACAACCAGACCATATCAGGAAGAACATGGAGGAGGTTTGACCTCCGGACAGCGACAGAACCTCTCAGTTCACCCGTTGTTACACTAAAACTCTTCCAGGGTTTTTGTGGAACCAAACGTCTGCTGAGCGACTCGAGCAGCGAGTCAGGGACAGACATGGCCTTAGGACAGACATCCACAAGTCCCAGATCCCAAATCCTGCATCATCTCGAGATCTGGCAAACTACCAACAGAATTCTCAAAGGAGTTTCCAGAATGTCCCCAAAGATTGTGAGTGGTCTCAGTTTCTTCTCCAGAAACAGATCTCCTCTGTGTCCTAGAGTCGTTGAGATATCAAGGCTGTGGGGCTTTATGTAGGCACGGACAAACGTGTTATTGCCTCCACGCCACCGTGCTTCTGCAGCGGAGCCATCATGGCCGACCAAAGATACGAAAGAAATGAGTGAAGGCAAGGAGGAAGAGCATTAATGCCATCTAAAACCGTGTATGTGTGTGCGCGATTATTAACGACAATAATAACAACAATAATAATGTTAATATTACATTTTTATTAACAACAACAATAATAATATTAATAATATTAGCAGTAATAATAATAATAGTAATAATAATAGCAGTAAAATAATAATAGTAATAATAGCAGTAATAATAATAATAATACTAATAATAATAGCAGTAAGAATAATAATAGTAATAATAATAGCAGTAATAATAATAGTAATAATAATAGCAGTAAAATAATAATAGTAATAATAGCAGTAAGAATAATAATAGTAATAATAATAGCAGTAAGAATAATAATAGTAATAATAATAGCAGTAATAATATAATAGTAAAATAATAGCAGTAATAATATAATAATAATAATAATAATAGCAGTAATAATAGTAATAATAGTACTAATAATAATAGCAGTACTACTACTACTAATAATAATAATAACAGTAATAATAATAATAGTAATAATAATAGCAGTAAAAATAATAATAGTAATAATAATAGCAGTAATAATAATAATAGTAATAATAGTACTACTAATAATAGTAATAATAATAGCAGTAAAAAAATAGTAATACTGGTATAATAGCAGTAATAATAATAATAGTAATAATAATAGCAGTAATAATAATAATAATAGTAATAATAATAGCAGTAATAATAATAATAGCAGTAATAATAATAGTGATAATAATACTCTAATAAATACACAAGCCTTTAAGAGCAACTCAATCCCAGCTTCTACCAGAGAATGCTGCTGTTGTGTCTTTGAGCAAGACATTTAACCCCCCTCGCCTGCTGGTGGTGGTCGGAGGGACCGGTGGCGCCATTGTTCGGCAGCCTCATCTCATCGTAGCTCATCCATGTGTGAATGACTGACTGCGTTGTGAAGGGCCTTGGGGGGTTGTAGAACCCCAAGAAAGCACTATACCAGGGGTGTTCAATTCCAGTCCTGGAGGTCCGGTATCCAGGTTTTAACTGCATCAACACACCTGATTTCAATCAGCAGGTGATTAACAGTGTTCTGCAGAGCCTGGTGAGCTGCTGCACAGATGAATCACGTGTGTTGAATCAGAGAAACCACTAAAACGTTCTGGATGCCGGACCTCCAGGACCGGATTGAATCCCCCTGCGCTGTACAAATACAGGTCACTTACCATTTTACTTTGTTCTTTGTTTGAGTTTTAGTCTCCAGCAGCCTGTGTGTCTGACCTGATTTCACACTGGAAGCATCAGCGATGCGGAACGGTTAACTCGCGAACTTCAAAAGCGGTCCATTTCACACCGGGAGAGTTTTGGCAGAGGCACGGCTTCCTTGCTGTGCTCCTTGCTGGACTTGCGAGATCACAAGATCCTTCGAGACTCCAAGTCACCGTTTGTTTATGCAAACCACCATTAAACCAAAAAGAAGGAAATCACGTTTGAAATCGCTGTTTGATGTCACAAATGATGCTGTTCCTCTCCACTGCCAGGATTAAAGCCATGAAAACACACCACTGCACTTCTGGAACGATGCTGTGAGCAAATACGTCGTTGGGTCACATGTAAGCTTCATATTTATGAAACTGCATCGCTGCAGTACTTTTATTTTGAAAATTACCAGGGATTTTACACTGAAACCACGTGTGATTTCCTGTCTAGCCCTATGCTAACTGTGGAAATTGACGTGTCCCAGAAGCGGCTGGCGGCTAAACTAGAACCCGATCCTGTTTTTAGCGGCGTGGCGTGCCGCTTCTGGGACGCATCAGAAAATGACGCGGCTGGTTTGAAACACACCACAGACTATAGTGGATTCTGATGGAACAGCGACGTTCCGCTGCTGTCCGCACCGCCGACGCTTTCAGTGTGAAACCGTGGAAATTAACCAACTGCTCAAGCTAGGCAAGCACACCTCAAGGCACAGTACTCACCTACACTAGTAGGTGGACAACACAACATCGACATTTAAGTAGCTGTCCTGTTTTAACCTTTATCAGTCAAGGACAGCGGCACCCTAGCGCCCCCTATAGAGAGCCTAAGCCACGCCCATCTACTTCCGGACCATGGGTCCCCGGAAGAACGACAAAATGAACGCAAGTCAACGGGGCTAATGGGTTCTAACTCCGCTTGTTTTGTGCCATGGATTTCACACATGATGTCCGTGAATTTTAAACACATTTTGGTACCAAGAACGTGCTTATTTTAGAACGGGGGAACGTTATTTTAGGTTTTGTGTGAAAATAAGTCCAGGACTACAAATGAGCTTCAACATAGTGACGTCATCGAACCAGACACGGAGAAAACTGAGAGAAAAGGGGTGTAAGTTCAGTAAACGTCCCACAGGAGGAAAGAACCACCATAAATCTGGTCACGTGGTGAGTAGCAGCTACGCTGGCGGGAGGAGCTTATGTGGTGATGTCACATATGCGACGTATCGATGTCTGATTGTAGTCGTGCTAATTACGAACGTTCAGTGTTTCGTTCTTTCGGGACCCATGAGCCGACTGGAAGGGAGGAGACTTGGGCTCCCTGTGGATGAGCCACCACTGGTTTGTCTATAGAGCTCCGGGAGTTGACGTCACTTCTCCCGGCATGCAACAGTTCAAATCGAAACGGCGCCATTTGGCAGGCAGAAGCCGGCAGCTGGACTATTTGTTATTGTCAGAAAACTCAATCAAACGGGAAATATGGTAGATTCCTGTTGTGCCCCAGGATGCAGAACAGACGCGGACGACATAAGGAATGAGCCATCTACAGGATTCCCCAAGATCCGGAGCGCCGCAAACGTTGGATCATTGTAATAAAACGCACTAGTGACCGGGCTAAAATGAAGCTGTGGGATCCCGAGAGTAAAGGTTTTCGCTTATGCAGCGACCACTTCATATCAGGTACTTAAACCAACGTGTCCTCAACTGTGTATGGTATTTATTTTAAATGCTTTCATTACGATTCTTAGTGGGCTTCCTAAACTTATTTTGGCGTGGCTTTTTCTGTCTTATTACTCACAGCAGCAAGTAAACATCACGTAAAACGTTGCCTCGTGAGTTCTGCGTGCTGTCGTTTACGTGTTTTATGATCACAGCAATTAACCGGCTAAGCTGTGTTTAATTTTTAAGCAATGGTTGATCAGATCACACATAAAAAGCACTTTGGATTGCTATTATCTGTCTCACCGAGACTACTTACGTGTAAATCTGTTATTTGTCCGTCCATCCATCCATTTTCATCCGCGTATCCGGAGTCGGGTTGCGGGGGCAGTAGCGTGACTTCCCTCTCCCCAGCCGCCGGAGCCAGCTCCTCCGGGTAAATCCCAAGGGGTTCCCCGGCCAGGTCCGGTGTTGTGCCGGTAAGAAGTCCGCTCCAACAGCTTCTGGCGTTTTTAAAAAGTATCCCAGGGGCACGGTAAGGGTCGGAGATGTTTAGTCTATTTAATTTCTGACTATATAAAACGATTTCTTCTGTTTTAAAGTGTGAAGTAAACTCCAACGAAGTAAAATCCAAGCGGATCCCGTTTATGTTCATGTTACATCCGTGTTTGTTTACCTTTTTTGCATGCCAAAATGGCGTCCACTAACTGAGAGTCACTTGGGGTCCGGAGCTCTATGGTGACATCATCAGTGATGTCTGAGACTTGGTCTAGAACCCTGACCCCAGCAGCAACTGACACAGGTGGCTGTGTTTTTGTTTGTTTATACGTGATTCCAGCAGTGTGAGCGAGTCCAAAGACTGGTGGGAGGAACCGGAGAAGCCTTGAGAACGTTTCAGGACATTTAGGCAACAATAGAAAGAAAGAAGAGCGGTGCGTCTCCCAGTGAGGAACTGCTTTTAGACCACGGGACTCCAGAATGGACTCGTTCCAAACAGAAGCAGAATTTTGTTT